ATGTTGAATTTGCAGGGACGGACGAGGAGAAGGTGTGGCGGGGTGGGAGCTCTGGCGGTTTCGGCGACGACAGCTAAAATATATAGATATTTTACTGAAGGAAACGATACGGTGAGGATTGCCACAGGCAGTAGGAAGTTCTCGGAGGGAAGATAGTATATCTGACGAGAGCGCTATTGTATTTGGTGGATTCGAGTGGAAGTTGGTTGGTTGATGAGGTTTTGATTTGAAGGGTAAAAGTAATGTGATTGGAGTGTCTGTGCAGCGAAGTGATGGCGGGGAAGTTGAGTTGAGTTGGGTTGAGTGGTTAAAGTTGAGCTGGCCGGGACAAAGCTGGAATCGAATTCAGGTCACAACAGCCGGTTCTATGCGGCACTAATCTGCACAACTAAGCTTATATTATATTAAAAGATGAAATGAAACTTCAAAGATGGGGAATGAATATAAACATATATATATGTATTTGCACAAGTATATAATATGCTGGGAGGATTCCGATAGAGTAATAGAAACTGGGGACATTGCATTCCATCTGAAGTTCAGCGATGAGAGCATGAGCAGCAGCCTTTCCTGGCCTCGCGCCGGACTTATCCTACTGGCCATCCATATTAATATTCCCTGTCCCTTTGTTATAGCTAGTACTTATGTAGATGCAAATGATCAGAAAGCGCACACGCGGCCCAGTCACATATCCATATCTCTAAGAGAGAACGAACTTGTTATTATGTCACGGCATCGGTTGTGTCATGTCATGTCGGCTGATGGTTTCTTACAGAGATACAACAATACATAGTACTACTAATACTTATTTACTTATACATGTACTTTACAGACAGCCGATCCTGTAATTAATTAATTATGAACCAGAACCCCTCACTCCGGGGTGCATATATTAAGTACTTACTATCTTTAACAATACAACCAGCGTTGGGACTTCCCGGTTCCCGGTTCCCAGTCGCCAGTCCCCTGTATCTGCCAAGAATTACACAAAAAAAAGTGTTGCCAAGATCCCCGGATCTGGGGTCGTGTGTTGTTCCATGTGTTGTTCGTTTGATCGGCTGTTAATGTGTTGACGTGTTGATGTCTCGGATGTGTTGACGTGTTGATGTGTTGTGTCGGCTGAAAATTGTCGTCGGTCGGTCGGTCGCACGTGCTAAGCAAAAAGCAGCCAGCCAATTCCCCACGTCTTCTGGCCTGCCATTGAACCCGACTGACACTGACACTCAAACTAACCTGAGAGAGAACGCGACCTCTCCTCTCCTCTCTCCCCACTCTCTCTCTCTCTCCCTTACTCTTCTCCCATATCCACCCATCATCACCAACTTCATCGAAATGCTCAAGCAGACGCGCACTTTCTTTCGCAAGAACCGGACAAACCTCGCCATCGGTGCCGGCATCGTCGGCTCCATCTACATCGGCGCCAACTATGTTATCTCAAAGCTCACTGAGGCCAAGAATCGCATGGCCACTGACCGTATAGCGAAAGAGAAGTATGCATTTCATTCCTTATACATATATAATATATGCATATGAATATCTTTAGTACCAATACTAATACATGTGCATTGGACCATTAGTCTGCGCCGTCGCTTCGAACAGAACCAGGAAGACTGCTCCTTCACCGTCCTTGCTCTCCTCCCCACCGCCACGGAACGGATCCTCGAACTGCTCCCCGTCGAGCAGATCACTCACCAGTTACAAGAGAAAAAGGCTGCTCGGTTAGCTAAGAGCGGTGCCCCTTCCGAAGTCTCATTCGGCGCTTTATCCGTCAAAGACGACGACGGCATATCCGTTAAATCTCTAAAATCGGAACCCGCCCCACAGACCGGGACAGGAGAGCCGAGGCCCAAGAGAACAAAAGCCCAGCTCTGGAACGAACTCAAGATTACCTGTGAGATTTCACTTTCAACAATGCTGCAATTTTCAAATAGAACATGAAATGTTAATTGATGGCAAAAATATAGCTATAACTCGCGCCTACACTCTAATATATACCCTGGCCCTCCTCTGCTTCCTCACTCGCATCCAACTTAACCTCCTCGGCCGTCGGAATTACCTCTCCTCGGTTATCTCCCTTGCCGAACGAGACACGGAATCTCCAATTTCTCTCGAGAACAACGAGAACAACCCCCAATTATCGCAAGAGGACTATGATGTGAACAGAAAGTATCTCACATTCAGCTGGTGGTTATTACACCGAGGATGGAGGAAACTTCTATCAATTGTCGAAGTCTCTGTGAAGCAGGTGTTCGGCCCGTACGTCCTCGAACCCCTCTATTTGATCCTTAAAACAATACTGATCGATATAAACCAGATTGAACCCTCGTGACGACATTTCAATGTCCCAACTCCGCGACCTCACCCTTCAAATCCGTAAGACAGTTGAAGGCGATGGTGAATTCTCGTATGTTTCTCCTAAATAAAAAAACATATACATTAAACACACTCAAGCTAACTACCTAAGTGTAAGAACCAGTTGGCTCCCCTTCCTTCTCCCCCCGAACGGCGACGAAGATCTAGTCCTCCGCGAGGCCGGTGTTATCCCCGAACACAATAGCTCCGACCCAACTGGCACCTCTCAGACATCAGCATTCGCATCATCTCCACCTCTACGTCGCCTCCTTGACGAAACATCCGATTTGATCGACTCCCCTCCCGGACGAGATGTTCTCAGCCAATTATTCGACGCTGCCTTTAACATCCTACTCGAAGAAAAATTGGCCGAGCAGGCGTTCAAGGTCGTAGCTATGCCAATGCCTGGTGGCATTGACCGTGAAGGAAGGATTCAGGAAGTCTTTGAGGTTCCACCAGATGCAAAGACCAAGGTCGCCAATGTTCTTGCAGTAGTAACAAGACAGGCCCACCTCATTGGAAACGGAATCCCTAATGAATACTTGAAGGTAATAATATATTCTACATCCAACCACATAGAAAACTCATACTAATGGGGGTACATCATAGGCTATGGAAAAGGTACAGGATCTATCAGGATTCAGCGCTATTATTTACTCCAATTTCGATCTATCGAAGGCATCGCCAATGGATTAGAGTTCCTACAGCGATAACTGGATGGCATGGTTTAAAGAAAGCACCAGCTTTGAAGCCATCGGTAGCTTAATCACCCGTATTCTCGCAAGAGAGTAAATCTCGAAACGTGATTCGGGAGGGGGGAGTCAATGGGGAGTGGCTAATGTAATGAGATGAGTTAACGAACAAAAAATGAGGCATAGCTATTAGCGATCGCTATTCTTTTCTCTTTTACTGTCGTTTTCTTGTGATGCGATTTTTTGGGGGTTTATAACCTTTAGTTTTTTTCTTTTTTTTTTTTTTTTAACTAAACTGATCATATTTCGGCATTTTTTTCTTTCTTCTCTCTCTTGGGATGGGTATGGGTATGAGACGGGCGTGCTTCTTTTTTTTCTTCTCTCTCTTCCTTTCGACTATGTATTCTACTATTACTGTTACCTGTTACCTCTAGAAGGGTTTCTTTTACGTACTTACTACTTACATATATGGGCTATGGAATAATAAATAGCGTGACGCTGTATATCATTTTCGAGTACCGATATATAAGTATATATATATACATAAGTATATATTAGTCTAGTTGTTAGTATATATGACGTTTTAGGAATTAGTCTCTGGGTCTTTACGAGTAATAGATTTGTGAAGAAACCGGAATTTTTTTGGAACGAAGAAGGTCATCTAATATAACATGTAGCGTAAAGAGAAGAGAAAAAAAACGGTGTATACTATTGTTACAGGTGAAACTAGAACTAGAACTAGAAAGTGAAAAGGACAGACAAAAAGAGAAAGAAAGAAAGAGAACAGCAACCCTAGCTATAACGGACATACAGCATAGAATTCAACCGAGAACACAATAAAAACGAGGACTCCCATCCCATACATAAAACCACAGTAGCGAACATAAACGGCCCATCAACATCTTGGGGGAGGGGGGGATGAGAGGGGTGGTGGTGGTGGTGGTAGTGAAACTTTTTTTTGATTACACATGATGAGTGCTGTAGGAAAAGTGGGTAGTAGTAGTAAATGACCGGGAATGATTAAGTTCTCCCACCCTCATCCCCCCTTCATCCCCTCCGAACAACTGCATCGTGTACCCCTAAGCTATTATAGAAGGAAAAGAAAGGGAAGAAGTGGGGATTTTACTCCTCGTCCTCCTTTTCGGCCTTCTTTTCTTTCTTTGCCTTCTTTTCTTCCTTCTTCTGTTTCTTCAGTCTTCTTCTTTCCTGCTTCTCTTCTTCGGTTTCCTCTACCTCTGCTGACTTTCTCTTCTTCTCTTTCTTTTCTTCGGTTTTTGTGGATGGTGTGGTCTTCATCTCGACGTCGCCGTCGCCTCCGGCAGCAGCAGCTGGGGCAGAGGCAGAGGCAGGAGCGGAGCCTTCTGGAGCGGTGTAATCAGTGTACTTCTCCTTCCACTTCTTTGGTGTAGCTTCATTGGTTCGGCCAAATTTCTAAACCCCGAGAAAAATGCATTAGCAAAAACAATTCTCTAAAAAGAGCAAGACTGGGGAATGAGGGGGGCAGAACATACATCAAGCTTGCCATCAGCCTTCAACTTCTTCTTCTCGGTAGCAATAGGACCCATGCCCCATCTTCTGGGGTACAAATCACGTTCCATGATACATCTCTTAACCTTGGCAACGACACCATGATCACATGTTGTCATTTCAACAGTAGACATTTGTGCGATACCGATGGCGATGGCTTCACCTTTTGTTGTCATCAAAACAACTTCTTCGTGGACTTCGATGCCGTCCTCTGTTTCCCCAAACGTAAATCGGTGGTTAGCATTATACTTAAAACAGCTATAATATGGTGTAGATTGATTGGGAAGAACTTACCAAATCTCAATAGGCCGGGTAACATCAACTTCGCACCGTAGCAGACAGCGTTAACCGCCGAGTCCTTGACCACAATCCTCTTGTATCCCAACAACAAGCTCTCAAGCGGTCTGATAACTCGTCGTAGGTAGGTCTCATCTCGAGTATTCTCATACATCCATTGAGCGTCAAGAACGTCGTGAAGAGTAACGATATTATCATTCTCAGAAAGAGCGCCGGACCTGACTCTTCGAAGTTCCTGCATGTGACCACCAACACCGAGGAGAAGGCCGAGATGAACGCACAAAGTACGGATATAAGTTCCAGCCTCGCAAGAAACCCAAAAGACAGCAAGATGGCGGTCGTTGTCGAATTCCAGAAGTTTGGATTCATAGATTGTTCGGACACGAAGCTGACGTTTGACAGCAGAGATGAGTGGTGGACGTTGGAACAATGCTCCCGTAAGGGTTTCTAATGCGCGAGCAACGGTTGCTTCCGAGGTAACTTTGTCATGAAGACGGAGAACGCAAACGTATTCCTTTCCTGCACCTTGTTGGGATTTTACGAGACGGGTGGCTCGGTCGAGACAAACGATCAAACATCCTGTGACTTTGGGATCGAGGGTTCCTGAGTGACCGGTTTTGTCGATCTTGAGGATTCGCTTGATCCAGGCTACTACTTCGTGAGAAGATGGGTTTGAGGGCTTGTCGAGGTTGATGACACCGCTAGAGACGTAGGATTTGAGGTCGCGTTTTAGAGGAGGGCAGCCGCTGAGAATAATTGTTAGTTTGACAGATTCTTGAGATTGAAAGGGAAAGAATTAAAGACCTACACAGGTATCGGAGTGAAATGACCAGTTCGGACTCGAAGTTTGTCGTAGTTTTTGAGGAGGAGACTGTTATATATGGTCAATTAGTATCAGAAAAAAGAGAGCGATTGACCAGGCGCAAGACTTACGGCCAGGTGCCTAAGAAAGAATCACAGCGTTAGTAATTACAAAAGCCACTATCTATCGACCTGAAGAGCGATATTAACTTAATAGGGTAGCGCGGGTTAGACATACTAGTATCTGTCGTCGGCGAGATGTTCTCGGGCTTGATCGCGTACTCGTCTTCCTCCTTCTTCCCAACTACCTCCATTTTGTCGGTCATTCGGAATGTATTAATAAGTGATTGTTGTAAAATAGTCGATAGAGAGTGTTTTGTAAGAATGGTCGGTTGCCCAATTGAGCTATGGTTCTTAGTGTCGGAATGAGAGGGACGGAGGTTGGATTTGATGTTGGAGAGAGAGAGAGAGAGAGATGTGTCGGGGTTTAACTAAAAAAAAAAAATTCAGATCTTTAAAAAAAGTTGAAGGATGAGGTTAAGCGAAAAAAAATTGCCCACTGTGGATTGGCAAGGGCTTGCGCTGCGCCACAGTCAGAATGCAACATTAACAACACAGTGCTTGTGGCGGTGCTTGATCGTCCACCCAGGGGCGGTATGAAGCCAATCAAGTGCATTTATAGATATTTTAAATTTTATAAACGATATACAATAGAATAATAGTCTCTATATACAATTCATGTCGATTTTACATCATACAATAAAACCCCCAAAGTCTCTTGTTACAAATCAGTCATATCGGTGTACAAATAATACATTTTTGAATAACAATCCATCAAATAGTGCACATCCGTACTAGAACTATTCGCAATCACTGCCATCCCAATGCTCGGTGCTTGGCAGATACATGATCCGTCAGCCGTACTCCACCTATAACTGTTAAATACCGGATAAACGTGACACCACTTCCCGCACTCATCTGCAGTAGCCACGTTGTAAACCTTGTATGTATTGTCACTCGCCGCACTATTATAATTCCCCTTCATTCCACAGTACTTTGTCTTTTGGTCGGCAGTTAATCTAGTATTTCTGAAAGTTGGGCTAAGAGCCTTGGATAGATCGCATTTGGGATCATACCAGAACGTTGTCGACGTGGGGTCGTAGGTTAGGTAACCGGCCGCGAACATGTCTTTATTCCATGTCTGGCAGCGCTGGATTGACGGTTGCCATTCGTAAGTCAAACAGCCTGATTGAGATTTACAGTAGTTTGCACAGGTGACTATGTCATCTATGTCGTCTAGTCCGCTGTCTGGGAAAGCGTTTGAGCTCCATAGGTATCCCTTCATACCACATTTTGGGTTTTCGAAGGAATATTTAAGTGATAGGTTTGTGTCCTTTCCTTTATTGAAGATTATTGCTGAGGAAATGGAACCGTCGTCGAGAGTTGTCATGTTACTTGTTTCTAGGATCGAAGCGGTAGTTGCAACGGAGTAAACTACACAATTAAACCAGGTTTGTTGGGCCCAGACTGCGAAGGACTTGCAGGAGCTATCCGAGGAACAGTGGTTTGCGCAAGATACTTGTGGAGATTTGGCGTTTAGATCGGTGTCGGAAATCCAATAGTTTATGATATTCTGTGAGGGTACGGCGTTTATGGCGCCTGTTACAAATGAGAATCCGGCAATACCGGTGGCTGTGGCGACGTATGTTACCGTCGTTACACCAGGAGGGGCTATTTGGGTTGAAAACTTGCTGGGAGCTTGAGAGCCGGAAGAAAGTGTGCCAACCTTGCTTGTAGTAGTGGCGGACGGGGTAGTCGAAGAGATCTTTCCTACAGAAGAAGAAGAAGTCTTCTTTATGGAGGATGAAGTATTCCCGGTTGAAGATGAGCTACTTCCCGTGGAGGAAGCTTTTTTGGCCAAAGTAGTGGGAGTAGTAGGTAAATCAGATCCCACATTCGGTGTTGCTGAGACCGTTCCAGTGCTAGATGAAGTGGAAGAACTAGATGAAGTGGAAGAACTAGATGAAGTGGCAGAACTAGATGAAGTCTTCAACTTTGTCTTTCCAGTATGAGTTGAGGAAGCAGTATTTCCACTTGTCAAAGAACTAACGCTAAAGGGGGGTGTGTTTGCAGAGGAGGAAGCACTCCCAGCGGGAGAGATAGAAGCATTTACAGTCGAAGACGTAGATGTCGTCTTCAAAGTAGATGAGGACTTAGCATCACTCCCCAACGTTGAAGACTTCTTAACAGCAGACGTCGAGTCAGACTTAGAAGTATTAACCACAGGTGTAGTACTCGAAACACTGGTTGAGGTGGCGCCCTTGGCCGAACTTGAAGTCGGAGAAGCAACCTTGGTGGAAGTCGAAGCCGTTCCCTTAACAGAAATTGGAGTGGAAGTACTACCCTTGGTGGAAGCCGAAGAGGAGGTAGATCCCTTAACACTCGACGATGATGCTAAAGAACTCGCGGACGGAGTAAAATTATACCCATAGGCTTTATAAATCGCATCTCCATCCTCCTGATAACTCTCGATCACATCAGCCATATCTGAAATCGGAGTCTCCCACCACCCACACCACCAAAAGTTTGTCCCCTTTTGGTCATCAGTCTGATAGACCGCAAAGAACTTTGCTCCCGTAGTAGGAACATCTGCGGTACTCGCACATTCTTTAGCTACAGTGGAGTAGGTTCCTGAACTTTCGAGACTGGTGAAGTCGATACAGTCGTCAAAGCCTGGGACCCTTTTGACACCAGAGTAGACAAGAGTGTAAGATGGAGTTGTTGCCCGCCTTAGGTGATGATGGCGGTACCGGTGGGGGTTCGCCTCCGCGGTGAAGGAGAAAATAGTAGTGACGACAAGGGTCGCAGTGAAGGTCCAGTTTACCATTTTTTCGACATATATAAAGGAAAGTATATACAAGAGTACCAGGAGAGTGCTTCTAAAGCAGCGATATGATAATACACCCGATTACATGCAGAAAAAAATCTATAGAATCCACGAGATCCTTAAAGGGGTTTATATATCCATTCGTCTTCTATGATCCTTCTAGAAGGCGAATCCTCGAACTTTACCATGCAGGTTGTATACAAATTGAAATTAAGGATACCCGCAACTCTCCCTTCCTAATTCAATGCCCTGGTGATCACGTCCGGATTCCACTATCACTTTGTGGATCAACTTCAGGAACGTTCGAACCGGTCTGGCCACCCTCAGGTCGTGAGTTTTGTGGAGAAGTACCGAGATCTTTTGTTAGACACAGGGCCCACACTACTTTGTACAAGTAGACAAGTTCTAGCATCTAGTAGGGAATGTTAGTCAATTATTCAGATCTGCAAAGTTATCGCTTAGGAGCCTTTTGTCGTATCTACAAGTAGAGTTTTGGAAATCTTGACTTTGCGCAGCGAAAGCTTAGCTATACTCTTAGATAGTCTTGCTATCTCGAGTGCCGGATTCGGCGATATATAGATATAGTTCGGGTGACCGGATCTTTAGAAGGTTTTCGCAAGTCACGATTGCACAGCCGCCACACTTTAATATCGAAACTGCAGGCACCCCGCTGAGATCGTGCAGGCTGTTGCTGGGCATCTCTTCAAATTAAATACTCTATGGTCATGCATGCATGCCGCCGTCTAGATTTTCCTAGATATCGATACCGTTTCGCCTTGGTTCCGAATATATACTATAGCTATATATATAGCCAGTCTTAGGCACTTATCTGCCTACTTCATTGCAATACGCGACTAGTATTTGTTACTTTATAAATTTAGTAGATACATATCTAGGTAGTTATGATTCAGCGTATATTAAATCGGGTTATGATCGTTGATATGTATTGATAGTGAGCGGAATCGATAGTATGGCATACTATAAGATCTTAGTTAAGAACTAACGGTGATAGCGCTACTGGCTTACAATTAAAGTAGTGTCTGGTTTCCGTGATAAAGCGCTCATATCGTTCTAACTCAAAGTTTCAAAACAAGAGAAATATAAATTATATTCTAAATTATCGTCATGAATCATCGGGAGGTTAGCCATATGCATTCTTGTTCCCAAAAACAGTACGTTTTGATCTTCTCAATATTAATAAACTTAGCAGTTACTAGATCGATCGCCGAATCCGCAGACAGCACAAAACACCCTCATATTTGGAAATCTTCATGTTTTTATACCCATTTTGCCCTACTTAAGATTATATTTCATTTGAATCAATCCCTCTTCTCTTCTTTCTTCTATTCTCCTTCAATGCACCACGCCACATTACAACCAACTCTGAGAAGGCTATATATACCGGCATTCTTGGAAAAAGACTGAACAAATGAGCAAATTCGAAGAACATACTTCCAAAAGAACAGTCGGGTTCCCGCACAAGGGCTTGAAAGCTCGACATAATTTTATTTATTATGAGGTTTCTCATCGAGAGGTATTGTCATTCGCGCTGTCTGCTTACTTGTCTAGTATTATTGCTGACGACTCCCAAAGCAGAGTCCCGACTGCGGTTGGCACTAAACCACTACGTCAAAGAAAACATCCGCTTCGGCGAACCAGATCCTACTTCGACTTTCAGTAACAGCGCATGCAAAGCTTGAACTGGATAGCTCTGATGACATCCTGGCAGACAAGCGCTACGAAGTATAGCTGTTTTCAAAGACCTACTAAAGACTTTTGATATGATCAACAAAGATACTCTTTGGGGAAAATTAAGATACCTACAAGCAGAAAGGAGAGCGCACAATAGCTACGTCAGATGGACTCTAGATTTCATTATCATTGAATATATAGAGGCCCTGGTTATGGCTCCGGCTCTGGTTCTGGTTCTGACTATGGCCTGGCCGCCGGGGCCAAAAATGCCTCTCCATTGCATTAGTGAGTAACACCCTATGTACGCCCCCAGGAACCAATATAATAAAGTTTAACCCCAAAGTTCACATCAATGTTTAGGCCCAGAGTACTTTCAGTCGGCCATCCAGTAACTGAAACGAGAGAATAACGATACACACACACACCGGCTCTTTACTTAAAAATTGAGCTAATCGGATTCTTTGGCCAGACCTGTCGAGTGGCGATAAATACCCGAAAGGAGAGTTAGTCCAATCCGGACGGGGAGGAATTGGTAGAAATTTACACAATTAATACGATATGGAACCATTTTTACGTTCATTGGTTCCCAAGGTACCGTACTATATATATACCCGAGTTATTAGAAGAAGAAAGAAGAAAAAAGAAAATAACAAATTTGAAGCGTAGCTTAATTAATGCAATATCCCCAGGAGTATAGACAGAGGAGCGTGTGTGTATCCCAGTTGTATTTCTTCAATTCAAGACATGTACGGTGGAAAGACATGGCTTCAGGGTATGTACAGGTCTTGAGAATATTTTATTTCTAAATATCAAAACAGATCAAAACAGACTTCATATCATCATTTGCATAACTTTTAGTATCTTCACTAAATATTTTGAAAGCTCATCTACTTACTTCCCAACCAAGCATAGAACAGTTTTAACCCAATAACCTGCAGATACAAATATACTCATAAAAAAGGTACCATCAAACCAGATAAATTAGAGAGGTGTAAATCCTTGGGAGCCAGCTGGAAGACTGATTGCCGGAAGGCCAAGCTGCGCCCAAATCTCGGGCTCCCACTCCTGATCACAGCATATACACAGGTTTTCTTCAGCTACCCATATCCTATCCCTCTGAATGGCTTTCAATCGTCGACAAGCAGATAATAGCCTCGTTATTCCAAGCTTCTCTTTAGTTAGGTACTTCATCCTGCGATAATATACTGTCCAGCTGATTTCCAGCTTGAACTCGATTCTCAATAGAAACGTCCAAAAAGTTGGTAAACTATCTTCTGTAATAACTTGGCGGGTGCCTCTGATCGTAATCGATGCAAGGTCACCGGTTTCAAGTCTCTTAAACTTTGCTCGAGTTTCTTTGACTGATTTTGAAACTTTGCCGAGTATAAGTAGCGTAAATTTTGTGTAAGATTTTTCTCTTTTGCAGAGGAAGAAAGGTCGGAACGAGGGATTTAGCTTTAGTTTATCCATCGCACGGTGGATGAACGGGCAATGTGCTAGAAACATGTCGTGGCGATCCTCGAGATATTGACATTTGTATTCAAGTCGGGTGCTGCTACGGTTCATTGAGATTATTGATTGTCGACCGGTTAGTCTTTCTGTATCTGATTTCATAATCGAATTTGTTCGGGTTCTGAGTCCGGAGTAGGTGAGACTGATGAGTTCTTCGAGGGCACCTAGATGGAGGATTTCCTCGGATGGTTGAGGGATAGGATCTGGTGGCGAGTCTGAAAGGTTTGAGTCGAGAACTTTTGGGCTTGGCTCATCATCGCCAGGCTTTTCGACTGGTGAGTTTGGGGAGTTTGGGGCACCTTCAGTTGGGGGGTTGTTACTTTCTAGAATGGTGTCTGCCTCTAGCTCCTTTAAAGGGAGCTGGGGAGGATTTTCTGCGCACATGTCCTGTAGTTGTCTCCTCACCACCCCCCTCGACTTTTGTTTAGTAGCTATAGCTTCCAAAGTATGTGTAAGGCCACCGGGCCAAGTATTTTAATTATAAAAGATTGAATTTTAGAGCTGAAGCTGGGGTGGTTTCGATATATGAAGTTTGGGGATGTCTAGGGCTATAGGTCGGCATGTAGATGGTCGAGAGGTTTTAGTGGGCAGTGTGTATTTGGATTTAAAACCCTAACGACTTACCCACTGTCTGTGTGCTGGGAAATCACAAAAAAAAATCATCAAGGTATATAGTGGCAAGTCCATTTATATGTTGATAACATGGCGTATATATATATACTTAATATCTAAGGTAACTATATATACCTATCTAAGGTAACTATTCTCAGATTGAGATTTCAATTACAAATTATTTCCTTAGCTACGCTTGGTTTAGCTATATATATGGCTGCTATATCGCTTAATTTGGAGAGCGGATGTTATGCAAAACACCAGGAGCTGTATATATCTGGCTCGATAGTGTATAGTTGATGACTTAGTAATCAGTACTGGGCAGCTGTCGACTCATGTCGAATAGCCATGTGCACATGCACTTTGCATGTCGATCTTGACGAAAGCCTTTGCTCGGCTGTTCTAGTTTCGAGACTGGACGAATGCTTTGCGTTGTGGTTGTTGTAAAATACAACGCCAAGGAAGCGTGCAGTCTGATGTATGAAGCCGATCTAGTCGAGAATCCTACCAAACGAGTCGGAAAGCGCTCAAATCATCTATATTCAATGCTTTTTTTTACGATTGTCTACTAAGGTCAACGGATTACACGTCGAGAGGATGGAAGAAAGGATAATTCTTGTATCCATGAAAGTATTCAATTCGCCCGGGGGGTATAGGTAGATGAAAAAAAAGCCCTCGATGTTACGCCAAAAATCAAATGTTGGGAGCTCATCTCCCGTGATAACTATAGGATGGATCGTATCAATAATGATACAGAGACATGCCAATACGCCGCTCTTAACAAAATACGGCCATTCCATTTGTGATGATGCTAATCAGTACCAAGTCGATGGCCTGCGCCTCGATTTCTCCAGGACGCACCGGCGGCCTGACGAGGATTGCTTCCAGTAGCACTTCCACCATCGCCTCCAAACATTCCCTGCGCTCGTGCAGGTGCGGGACCCGCATCCCGAGCTCGCGCATCAAATCCAGTTCCGTAGGCGCGGACTCCTCCAACGCCACCGGTTCTGGTGCCTGGACCACCCTCAAATGACCATTTAAGGAAACTTGGGGTTGGAAGAAGATTTGAGCCACCTCCAAATCTATAAAATGGAAATTTAACGTTAGATAGTTTTCCCTAGAATGGAAAAGGTTTACAGGTCAACATACCTCGGCCACAAAACTGTTAAGAATTCATAGGCATGAGCAGAGACAATTCCACTCGCCAAGATGAAAGCGCTTGGGGGCGACTGGATAGCTGTGATACCGGCGATAGCGTATGGTAACCATTGAGCTTTGATGGTGACGAAAAAGAACGAGATACTTCTACCACGGTTCCTTTGGCCCCAGGAGTACGCAAATGCAATTCCCATAACTAGAAATCAAAGTTAATACTCATTCTAAAGAATGTGACTGATTAGAGAGGGAGAAGACTAACCTTGTGCGAAAATCACCCCACCTAGGAAGAAAGAATTGAGCAACTAAGGCATCAGGTTAGAATGATCCAAAAAGTTGTATCAAGCACTCGAAGCTCATCGATCGCGTGTCAAACTCGAGCCTTCTCAAAGAATAAAAATAAAAAGAAAGAAAAGAAAAAGTATTTAGGAACACCAATGAGTCAAAGAAATACGTAGAAAATTCCAGCGACATGTTCAAAGCTATCCCACCAAAGTCACGCCGACGACACAGCCTTGTGAATGATTGATTGTGATTGAGGTAGGCCATGTCGTCCGCGCAACGGCGATCTCCCTCCATTCCAGGAACCTTTGCAGCTTCTAAGCACTGAAAGGGCAGATATGTGGAGGTACCAAAAATGCGAAACGTGACACCAAAAAAAGAAAGGCTCGGGTTTGGAACAGTTGAAAATATGAATAAGGGTAACCTACCAAAATGACTGCACCATTAAATAAGAGGTACCAGAGGAAGTCACCCGAGGTATTGAAGTGGACGGTCTCGAGACTAGGGATATTGTTAGCCCATCCTACCCATTGTTTAATTCCACTATAGTACTCCAGGATGAGAACAACATACTCAAGACCATATTTGTAGATGGTATATGTATCGAAGAGGATACCCAAATCCCTCGATGTCAGAAAAAATGACGTAAACGCCCGCCAGAGCTGTGGTGGCATTTTCGCCGTGATGAAGGAGGGATCCCATAAGATCTTTTCTGCGTTAAGAAGGCCGAAAACGCGGACGGAGAGAGAAAGAACTAACGTCACACCTGCGTAGAATCTGAATAAACAAAATTCGGTCAGCAAGAGAGCAATTATGATGATAATGATAGTAGGTCAGCAAGACGAACCTCGTGACAGGTGGAGTCGCGTTCAGGAGATTGGTGACAGCATCTCCGAGGTTTGCCATCTTGAATCTTTCGATTTCTTTAGTCGGATGTTGATGTGGATGTACTTGATAGATACTAAGTATCTTATGCAGTGTTTGGGAGGAAGAGATGCTACCGAAGGCAGAGAAGAGAAGACAAGAAGAGAAAGGCGGACATGCTCATTGGATTACAATTGCAGTTATAATGTGTAAGCAGCGGCAACCACCAAAAAAAGAACCAACCGTGGCCAGCACGCGGCAAAAGTAGATTTATGAAGGGCAATGGGTATAAGTCAAAGAAAGAATGGAAGAGAGAAGAAGGAAGAGAAAGAGAAAAAAGAAGAAGAGATGTTGACAAGTGTTTGTTTAGCAATCAGAAATTTCTGTGCCGCCGTGACAAAAACGCCAAGCCTGTTTGGGTACTTTTTGTCCAGGATCACAGGGGAGCTGTGTTCCCGGGAAGACGGCTCCCGGGGAAGAGAATCGTCCCGGTTAAGCCGCCCCGGTACTACCCCTCCTGTGGGTACCTACCAACCGATATGCATTTGCCCCGCCCTGCAGCTGTACCGATGTTCGGAGTGTCTGACTAAAACAACAACCTTAAAAACCCGCAGCCCGCCAGAACTTGAATAGAAGAGAGAAAAAGACTTTGTAATAAGAAGAGAGTTAAGTCGAGAGAAACCAAATTTATATTTCGTAGTTTTGTTTGGATTTTAAGATCGCAATTGGAAGGTCTTTGACTTCACAATTGATATTAATTCTTCCTCCTGCCTTATTCAATACCACGGAATACCACAGTCCTCAACACTCCGACACTAGCAGATATGCCGTCCGTATTGCTTCTCGGGTCCGGCTTCGTCGCCAAACCTACTCTCGATCTCCTCGATAAGGACGGCATCAATGTCACCGTCGGTAAGCCGAACTAGCCGTTGACGTACAGGTGACTAATATTGGGGGAAATGGGCTAATGCAATTGATACCATACAGCTTGTCGTCGTATCGAGACCGCTCAGCAATTAATTGCTGATTGCAAGAACGCCTCTGCCATCTCTCTCGATGTTACTAACGAGGCTGCCATTGATGCTGAAGTGGCCAAGCACGATCTTGTCATCAGCTTGATTCCATACACATATCATGCTACCGTCATCAAGTCGGCCATCAAGAGCAAGAAGGTGCGACTACCTTTATTTATTTCTTCCTTTCTTTTTAACTCTTATTTTCATGACCATTGGGTAGTGAGTTCCAAGAGGCTGACCTCGAAAACAGCATGTCGTTACAACTTCATACGTCAGCCCCGCTATGTTGGAGCTCGATGCCGCGTAAGTATCTAGTATTCTGTCCCATTATTCTATTCAAGTATCTAATATGATGTATGATAAAATACAGTGCCAAAGAAGCCGGCATTGTCGTTATGAACGAAATCGGCCTCGACCCCGGTATCGACCATCTCTACGCCGTCAAGACTATCGATGAAGTTCACAAGGAGGGCGGCAAAATCACCAGCTTCCTCAGCTACTGTGGTGGTCTTCCAGCTCCAGAAGACTCTGACAATCCGTTAGGATACAAATTCTCTTGGTCTAGCCGTGGTGTCCTCCTCGCTCTCCGAAATTCCGCCAAATACTACAAGGATGGCAAGGTCGAGGAAATTGACGGACCGGAACTAATGAAGGCTGCTAAGCCATACTTCATCTACCCTGGATACGCCTTTGTTGCCTACCCTAACAGAGACTCTACACCATACAAGGAGCGATACCATATTCCCGAAGCCCAGACTATCGTTAGAGGTACCCTTCGATACCAAGGTTTCCCAGAGTTCATCAAGGTTCTCGTCGATATTGGGTTTTTGAAGGAGGATCCTGTTGACTACTTGGCTACTAATGCTACTGCATTGTCATGGAACCAGGTCCTAGCACAGATTCTCGGAGTCCCCTCCACATCTGATGAGTATGTCTCTTTAAGGCCTTGCTATGATTATACCAATACTAATCAAACTTCAACTACAGCGACCTTATCGCCGCCATCTCCTCAAAGACTGTCTTCACCTCTCCAGAAGACAAAACTCGTATCCTTAACGGTTTCCGCTGGCTCGGACTCTTCTCATCTGGCATCGTCACAAACAAGGGTAACCCACTAGATACCCTCTGCGCCACTCTCGAAAAGAAGATGCAATACGAGGAGGGCGAACGCGATTTCGTTATGCTTCAGCATAAGTTCGAGATCGAACATGCCAATGGAACTAAAGAAACAAGAACATCGACTCTGGCGGATTATGGTGTCCCTGGCGGATACTCTTCCATGGCCAAATTGGTCGGTGTGCCATGTGGTGTTGCCGTTCAGATGGTTCTCGATGGCCGAATTGCCACACCCGGCGTACATGCTCCATTGGACGTTGATATTGCTGAGAAGTTGAGATTAGTGCTCGAGAAGGAGCACGGAATTTACATGAAGGAGAAGACTATTGCCTAATTGCGTTCTACCTTACGTGATTTTGGGAATTGATATTATGAGAATTTGCTAGAATATAATATCGTGAATAATAAAAGTCTCTTCCAATGTAATTCTATTTGCCCATGCGTCGCTAAATCCAATATTATGTAAAATCCAAACATCATCTTCCCAGAAAAGCACCAGAACTCCAACCTACTAATATACATGATATCGCCCTGCCCGTCAGGCAACCCTCGCCTTCTTAAAAGCATTACCAGAGGACGGCCCCGACGAGAAGCCTCGTTTCCTCTCCATCTCTTGCTTCATGATCCGCTCTGCTTCGCTCATTGGCCTTTTAGCGTCTGAAGCCGATTCCGCGTTTGGCTTTGCCCCAGAGAGCTTTTTGCCCGCAGCTGCAAACACGTTAACTGGCTTCTTTGGCTGGATCTTCATCGAGATCTTAGGTGGCTGTGCAGTCGCCGTCGATGCCGCTGGTGCTGCAGAGGCAGCTACCGCGTCCGGTGATACAGTCGCTTCCTTGCTTTCTGTAGTATCATCTGATTTCTCCTCTGGTGACTTGGATTTCTCCTTCTTCTCAGAATCTTCTTTCTTCACGCCACCAAAGTTAATCTTAATCTTCTCCTCCGTCTTCTGCAACCCCGTCGCTATCTCGCCATCCTCACTATCTTTCACCGCCTTTTCTTTGTTTGCCCTCTCGATCTGTGCTTTAATCTGCCTCTGCTCCCGTTCCTCGTCACCTCTATCCTGCCTCTCCTTCTTCCTAATCGCCTCTTGTCTCGCCAAAGCCTCAGGACTCCTGTCCACATAACTGATAAACAGCCCCTTCTCATTCTCTTCGACTCTACATATCCCTTCCCTCCCCAGTATCTTAACAAACTCGCTCAAGCTCGACCATTTCGTAGCATTCATATGAATATGTTCTTTATTGTGAATATACTCCTGATAGAAATGATTCGCATGAACTTGTTTTTCACCATGAGAGGTTCTAAGGAGTTGTAAGAAGTCATGTTGGAAGTCGGAAGAGTATTTATTGATTGCCTTTTTGGGATCTTCCCCGACGATGAGGATCTGTCGAAGATGGGATTCGGATTGAGTGTGGCATTTGAAACCGTTTTCGTCACGCATTTGGCGTTCGCAAACTTGGCAGTACCATCGTAGACGTTGGAGACCTTTGGACTTTAGCTTGTTGTCGAGGTATTTGGAGGTTCCGACTTCGGCGCGTGGCATGGTTGTGGATGAAGTGCGGTGGGAGTGTAGATTGAGGTTTTTGGGGTGTGTTTTTTGGGATTTATGATTCGAGGTGGAGTATGGACTTTTAGTGGTCGTAGGCTTTAAATAGGTGGGTGATTATCTAAGCTTGAGGAGTCGAGAGGTGGGGATGATTGAGGGTGGATACGTCTATCGAGGTTGTTCGCGATGCTGGATGAGTCGTGAAAGGTTGGAGATGAAGATGGAAGAAAGTGGCAAAGGCGGCTTGCTGATAAATGTGGCTTGGTAATTCACAAAGCTTGGCAATTGTTGCATTTCGCTGACAGCACAACACTTTTACAGTTTGTTTTCTATCAGTTCTGCCGGATTCTACCTCCATAGGATTAACTCTTAGGCGTTTTGCTACCTCTTGATATCATAAGTGCATTAGAAATTTTGTTTAGTAGAGTAGGAGTAATGGAATCAGTTCGTAATTGGTATATTATATTGTCTTCAGTTCTCCAATCGGTTTATATACAATTGCGGTGTCCCAGAGGCCTAGCGGGTGTTCAGGAAATTTCGAAATCATCTGGATATCAATCTCAATTAATGGTAACTCGAGTGGCTATTGTTTTTATTAAGAAAAAAAAAGTTTTAGATAGTTCCTAGTAGTATGCTCCGCACATAAAGTGTGGGTTCGATTTAGAGGGAAAGAAGATCGACTGGATACCTACTTTGGTAAGTAGGCGGAAAGATCTTAAGATATGTATGCAGCTCCCATAGTCGTCTCGCGGAAGTTATTCCCGACACGATGAGATAGTAGATCTACACTCTGTGCTAAAATACCAAACGATAAGGATATAAAATCTAGGCCTTGAAGTCGACCAGTTTATTCGAAGTAGTCCTGTGGGCTTGAGTATATAACTTAGGAAAGGATTTTAAATTCAGTTGACAACCAATTGTGATATATCGATAGACTTGATTAAATTTTATTTCCCGTACAGAAGCTAAACACAAAAATTAGTTGAGGCTTACGACGCGCTAATCTTTAAACAGTCGGATATATAGATATCGCAGGATTCAAATTTCTTAGCCAGGTTTTGAGGATAGCCTCGGTCCTATATAGGAAGGATCAATCGATTGATCCAGGCGTATATAACCCATGTTGCCTAATATTCAGTACTATAGTTGCAACACACTTATTTTCCGAAAGCAGGCGTATATTCGTTAGATTGTCGACAGGGGAATATCTTGGGTCTTGGAACACCGAGATCCTAGGCCCCTGTGATATTGATTCTGGGCCTGCACTAGTTGGGTATTAGAAATATTTACTGGTTACAATGATGTCGATAAATACTACCAAGTTAGGCAGAGGTGAGCGTCCCCGGACTAGGTCCCTATTGATGTCTGAATTAATTAATCAAAATTGGTCTTAGCCTAGGCCGTTGAAATAAAGTAACTCTAGTCCCCTAGATATGAATTTTACAAACTACATGTATGCATAGTTGCAACATAGGTCGGAATTCGAGGCCCTGGCCAGGAGTCTAAAAATAATTGGACTTCATAGATTGGGAGTAGCACCTATGTCATTTGTTTCACAGCTTAATCCTACTCCTGTGACTTACCGGAATCAATTGCTTAAAGTTGGGCAGTTAGACACCAACTAGTCACGACAATGTTGGATCGAAGCTCCATATTATCAGGCATATGCGCCAGTCAAGAATTGCGAATTGGTGGAGCTCTGGCGAGCTCGAAGGTACCTTATTCTCGGTTTCAGGCAGACAACCCGAAGAATATTCCTGATATTTTTCTGATTTATTGATTGGTGCCGTCCCTCGGTGTTATTTCCCTATTCGATCAATGCAAAAGGCGCCCGCAGACCTCTTTTCGCAATCGATTATTACGAAACGGTATCGATCATCGAATTCATTCCACCTACAGCGGGGAATCGTACGATCAAAGCTACCCCCAACCTTGTCATAGCCGTTCCTACATACAAATTGATCAATTGAGCTCCAACCAGCCGCATTTGGAGCCCACCTCTGCATGAACAAGATCTATGCACCCCTCGCCAATCGTGATGTGATAGCTAGCTCCTTATCCATGTTTTCGCAGCTGTCGGCCAATAGGGCTGCCACCCGGGACATTGTTCTAGATTTTGATGGGATTTTTGAAAATCAATGTCGGCCCGAGTAAGCTGAAGCAAATATTAAAATCATGGAGATGCATATTTATGCATTTCAATATCTAAGGTGCAGGACCAAGCATGGCCAACAAATAAAACCCCTGGCACATGTATCGGGAAGAGGCATGCTTAAACAGAAGTTTCACCGAAACACTATGCGGCAGGAAGGTGAACACAAAGGATTTTCTTCCAGAACGGCTCGGCCGGATTTCGATGCCATCCCGTGTAGCGCCTCTCTAGGTACGAAACTAAGGGCCCCTCAAAGGTGCCGAGACAGAAAACGGTTGTGGATCTGGTTCTGGATGCAACACATGGCCGGGCTGTTGGCTTTTCCTGTGGCTTCCACGCAGGGATGGTTGAAATGATTCCCTGGATTTCGATCTTTCGATCCCAGAAATGGGCAATATCGATGTTGCGGTGTGTATCGCTCTTTTTTTTATTTTTATTTTTTTTAGTTCCCCTGTCCACCTGCGAGGGGTGAAGCTAGCCAGCAGTACCTCTGTGTATGGTGGCTGCTTGCTGAGGTTTTGGTGGCTAATCGAAGGTTCAGCTCTGGTACTCCCTTACTTCATGTCGCACAACAGTGGATCCGGAGGGAAAGCACCGCACCCCCCTTAATACAATTCCCATAGCATAGCTCAGGACCTCCTCCAGCCGCCCGTCCGCTCCCTTTGACAGTTCGGAACGCGGCGATGGAACAGATAATGTTCAAGGAGGTAATTTCAAACGCCATTGTTCCTATAACACTGGATATGAATGGTCATGATGATATTAACGTGGGGTTGAAACCTTCGAAATTGAAGTTGGTGGTTCACGACATCTCAAAATTACAACATGTGCCGCCCCATCCCCTCCCGATCTAGAAGTGTTGCATTGTGAATCATGGAAGCTAGCTGCTTGTTTCTTCATGCATGGCGATTGCAACTGATTCATGGCAAACTTACCTACTAGAGCTATCGAGCTGGAAGTTCCTCAAGTGTGTGCCGCCATCCTGTTTCCTTTATGCTCGGAGACGATCTGTAATATTATCGGAGTTCAGTTACAATATATTAAATCGACGGCCTATGACCTGCATATGCCAATAGGAGACCAGAACAGGCTGACATGGGTATGAGAAACCCAGAATTCTTTCTTTTCATTGATTTGTCCTCGTCCTACCTGCCGTGAATTCGTCGCTTTGTGGATGGTATCACAACATTGGTATCGATTCTGCCTCCACTTTCTTTTGTCGGTTTATTCCATATCGTATCTCAAATCTTCCAAGTTCAGTGAAAGGGCTTATTTCCATGCCTTACAATGCAAAGCCCTAGACCGAGGACTAGCCATTTCTGTTAAAGTATTTTTTGTGATGTCTTGTTTTTTGGGGTGTTAGGATTGCCAATAGTTGAGTTTGGCTTTCCATGCACCCCTTCCCTCGGTTCTTTGGCTCGAAGTTAGGGCGAACGAAGGAGTAGAAAAACGGCACACTAAGGCTGACGCTATCTCCTCCCTTCCGATGATTTCAGCGCAGCCACGACGTGTAAGTGTAGTTTATTGCCTATCTCGTGAAGGAAATACTTACGTACATAAGGGTGTATATCCTGTCTGAGGGCTCGAGTAAGTCATATCTAACAAGGTGGGCGCCCGTTATGTTAATATATCCTCTTGCCGAGATCGATGACCCTTGATGTGACTTTGTCTCTATCTCTCGACCGTCTTGGAGTCTTTTTTTTTCTGGCACACTTGTACGATCTCAGTTTGCCGCACACTCGTGGTACATAATACGGAGATGATTCCCACAAGGTTGTAGAGGGAAAACAACTCCGGAAATGCACTGATATGATCACGAACAAAAAGTAGAGTTGATCAGTTTTACCAGTTCCCAGGGTTTCTCATATTCTTTTGAAGTTGTTACTTATCTTTTACCTCCCTTTTTCTTCCTTTGATCTTCTAGTTTTTTCCGTTTTTAAGAGGGAAAGACAAAATTTCTGTTCACTCTCTTTCGTTCTTTATTTCTTCCTTCCTTCCTTCCTTCCTTTCTTTCATCGGTCTTGCTTGATCTACTTGTACCAATATATTCGATCAGCTGAGTAGTGTCAAGGGATACGCAATAGACAGACAAAGAAGATATACAGTTCTTACCGAATTAAAGAGTCAGAAAGTAAACCCTAGTTGGGCAAAGCGGGAACAGTCTATTTCGACGTCATTGGTTCCGAAATACTCTGCTGTTCGAAGACCTTTGTATCCTCCAGAATATTAGACACATCCCGCAGCCTGCTCTCTCGCTTGCATCTGCACATATCTTTCGCTTAGTTTCTTTACCTTGCTGTTCTCTCCTGCGTCCCGGAGTGGATCAGGTTGCATATCTGGGCGAATCTAGATCAACTTTGTTTCGACGGATACCTCCCAAGCAGGCGGACTTTTGGGGAGTTCCTATCTTAGATTTCCGACCTTCTTACTGGATGCTGGTATCCGGATAAACGAATTTATAAGAGTTAAGAAGAGGTCTCTGTTGTCTGGAATTTCAGAGGGAGGTTTTCATGTGTGGAGTACTCTTCTGAAAAGGTATAACTGCAAGCTCCGTCTATACATCGCCACCAACACTCCACGATATCGTCGGCCAGTATAGCAGCGTACTCACCAGAAATTCTTCCACACAAAAATCCCATCGCCTATCTAACAGAAAAAATAATCATCAGCTTCTATTTTCCCTTCATCCATCACACCCTTCCATCACCCCAACTCACCATAGGCAAATACAACGGGGTCAACACACATATAAGTCGAGTCTGAGGACTATTACTGTACTATTTCTTGTTTTCTCTGGTATTATATATAGTTTCTCCATTGGAGAAGGGTGGCCGTAATGGATCTCCGTGGGAGCGCCGAACTCGAGGCCGAGTTCAACCCTCCACTCTACCTTGCCCCTCATGCTTCGTCGGTTTTCTCTGCTGTGTTGGTATGTTGATATTCTGCAGTCTATATACCTTCTGGGAGCTAACGGTGTAATAGCCGCTTTTCGGTGTTTCGGTTCTAGCTTTCTGCTTTGGTACGTACTGGCCCGCTCATTGGCTCTCATGGCCGCTAGACTGTTTGCGTTAACTTCAGTATCTCAGGTCGCCGTACCTATAACATGCCAAAGTTGGCTGAAGTTCCTCTTGCTCGTTGGTGTAAGTTTTCGGATGTAGTCCAGAGCCTTTTATGTATTGTCTAATAGTTATAGTGGTTCTCGGTGTCTATCTTGACTCATGGCTCTTCGCTTTCTCCTCTACTGTTCTCAACGTCGCATTCGGTCTTCGAAGCTCTATTACGGCCTGTAATGCTGGTATTCTTCTCTGCTTGATCTGTTACTTGACTACCAAGGTTTGTGAGCCCCCTTCTCTATCCTTATCTCTTCTGAAATAGTGTTATGAGTTATGATTGCTAACCATTATCATATGTGGTAGATTATTATCTACTTCTTCCTTGTAGAGAAAGTCGTATGTACTCCCCGTACGATGGCTATCGGACACGATAGAGATGCTGATATTTTTTTATCATTAGTACATCATCAGGTCAAAGCACAAGGGCCCACGCAGAAAGGACAAGCTGTACCTATTCAACACCCTTGGCATGCTCCTCCCGTACTTTATCGTCATTATCTTGACTTTCATCTTGTGAGCGTGATCCGAATTTCCGCTTCCCCAGTAAGAGTTTACCTAACTATCTTCTTATACAGCCGTATCTCGGAACTTCATGAAGACGGAGAATGCTACATTGGGTTGCGACTGGTCGCCAACATTCCTCTTCTGGTTTTTGATGTTGTTATCAATGTCTATCTAACTTCGCTTTTCCTGGTTCCTCTCTTTGGTATAAACATACCCCCTGTGTCTTGTGCATGCCCTGTTTCTAACTCTTTGTAGGTGTCTGCTCCTTCGACCAAGCCTCTCAGAAGGTTCGAAACATGGCAAAGCGTACTTTCTGGGGTTCAATTGCAACATTGATCTCTACTGTTGCAAATTTGGCAACTCTTGTTGTACTTCGTGGCCATGAACCCGGATGGATTTGCTTCGCCTGTTGCAATGCTGATGGTGAGAAAATTCCTAATATGCTTTTTAATTCCTCTCTAATACTGTTTATTAGTTGTTTTCTCCGCCATCGTCCTCCATTGGGTTACAACCACCGATTACGATGCTGGTCCGGAACACTCGGAGGGTGGTGTCTGCTTCAGCTGTGTCGAACTCCAGAACGAACTCAACAACGAATTAAAAAAACAAGGAATCAATCCTCGAAACCGCTGCAAGAGCTACCAAGGGCCTGGCCGCCAAGGCGGCGAAGTTATCACCGAGATTACATCGAAGCCACATAATGATAGTTATATCGTTGAAGGCATTACCGTCAGTGTTGCACATCATACCGAGGTTGAAGATGGATATTCGACGTCGAGAGATTCGAGAGAGAATAGTGAAGCATGTTGTTCTTCGTCTGATGCTGGGTCAGTTCACGCTATAAGACCGAATAAGGAACAGGTTTAGGGATTTTGTTGCCTCTCTGTTTCTGTGACCCTTTTTTTTTTCATTTTTTTCATTTCATTTTTTTCATCATTATTATAGGCGTTTCCTGTGATCCATTTTTTATTTCTTCTTCTTCTCTGCGACTACTTTTAGTCATACCGACGGCCCATGTGGATGGACCTTTTATTGTATTCGGGGAAAAGAAAACGGGAGGGGCTTCTGCTTTGCATTTTTATTAAAAACACAGCTCTTCCTTCATGATGATTCTGCTACAAGATACCACCAAAATGCTTCGTTTCGTTTCGTTTTCCTTTTGGGGTTTTATTATTTTTTTTTCCCGTCTCTCTTCCAGTAGAGACCTTACCGACCTACAGTATTTCATTAATCAAGTTTATAGCTTGGAGACGTCATCATGTAGTCCCTGTTGCTTGTATACCTAGCATCAAGTCTCTTTTCTTTATCCCCTTTTCTAAATAGGTGCTCAATATATGTTCATTAGGACCGAAGAAATGGCATACTATGACCTGGAGGGGTTTAATTCTAGAATTCTCTAGCTATTACAGGTTCTAAAGAAGAAGAGGAGGATAATAGTTACATATTGGGAAGAAGTTAGGCAAGCATGTGAAGGTGATATGTTAGTTTGAATAATGTGTACCTGGATGAATGGAAGAACTCCTGACTTGCAAATGGAACGTTCGGGCTCCATTGTTGGAAGCCAATTTGGACAGGTGATATTAACATTCTGGGCCGGGAACGTGTCGGAGTACGTCAACGTGATGGTATGCCAGGGGAATTCTATACAGAGTGTACATAGTAAGCCCTTTCGATTGAGACAGGGCTAGTCTGAATCATGAAGGTGGTCTCCTTTCTGGTAAACCAAGCCTTTGGCGAGCAATCCTCGGGTTCAGCACACCCACACGGAAACCATGGTACCAAACACACACACACACACACTCTCTCTCTCTCTTTACTTCCATCTTATGTATGATACTATAATTGTAATTGTTAAACCCTGAAGCACCCAAGTAGCTAGTGGAGCATGGAGTAGTAAAAGTTGTATTATATAGACGCGGTGAAGCGATAGTCGAGAATTAAGCGCCAACATGGCAACTGAAGGGGCTGGGGAGGACTCGGACGCCTGGGGACTGCAGGCTTGGCATGCGTTGTGTGTGTTTGGAAAAAGATAAACAAGAAACGCAAAAGGCAAACGCTTGTTCCATCTCCCTCCACCTCCGCCTGACAACAGCCCATCACTCGCGCTTCTGCACGACCCCGTTTGGACATTCCTCGACTTCATCATCAATCGAGATCAATCAGGCCTGGAACGGCCAATAGCTAATATTAAGATTCCGAATCAACTGCGACTGAAGCTTCATCGCGTGGAATATCCGCCGGGTTCATATTCTGTCTTGTTCTGGCTGTTACGAATTTCTGAGTTTGGTTGGTTGGTCTTTTTTTTATTTTTATTTACTACTTCGGACAGATAAACAATTGAAACGTCATTCCACGCCCGAACACCAAAATTTGCGAGTTCTAGATTCCACGCCCGAGGTTCCTTTCTCCCCGTAATCTTAGCGTCAGAACTTTCTGCTTCGGCATCTCGGGAGCATTCACGTTTCGTCCTTTGATCGCTCCTAGGTTTGGACTGGAGAATTTTGGGCCAGCAGGCGATATCTCGAAAGCTTCCCTTCACCGTGTGTGTTGCTACGAGACGGGTACTTCACCAAAACTCGACCTAGTAAATTTCGGACGAACACCACCACCAAGCACCACATACGGCCGATTCTATCCATTCCAGACCGGCCAGGAACCATTCGAACTTCTGCGAATATATTCGGACATCTTTAAATTAATTGAATTCAATCGAATTACTCGGTGCATCCGTCAATTAATTAGAATCATTCATATCCACAACGTACGCTACTTAAGAGCGCTCAAATCCGGCGGTTGCTCGACACAACATCATTTCCAGTCCACACCCCGTTAATTGTCCATAATTCCTGCCCGCTCTTTCATCTTCACTCTCCTCGTCTTCACTCATCCTCCCATCTCAACCAATCTCAATCCAGCCCGCTTCAACACACCTCCCATCTCATCTCATCCACTATCGCCATCACCATCACCATCACCATCACCACCACTACGACATCACCATCACAATCTCCATTGCCTTCCTGGCCTTAGCCTCCCTGGCAACTCACCATTTCTAGCTATTCGAATTCTACTGCACTCTCCGGCATCTCGTTGACTGTACGTTCATCTCATCCATCCATCCCATTCCCTTGCTTCTTCTCCTTCTTCTTCTTCTTCGCATCTGGTGATGCTTTGATGATGATGATGATGATGATGATGATGATAATAATAATAATAATTGTGATCATGATCATGATGACGATAATGATAATGATGGTGATTATTTGGTGATCAAATCGCTAACTCTATTGTGCCGTACAAAGTCGGTCGAGCAACGCTCAACCAAAGCGATGAAGCCTAACAACAACATAACGTTCCATCAGACGTTGACAACGAACAGCATGTCGGCTGGTAAGCAAGCAACCAAGTCCCAAACGCTTCTCATCTAGAGCACGCTGCTGACATGCACGCCTGCTTGCTTGTCTACAGGACTCGCCAAGCCGAGTTTATCTCAGGTTGCACCACAACCTCCTACGTTCAATTCTAAGAAGAGAACCCGCGCAGATAGCATGAACCAGAACCTCCAACCTCATGTGCCAATGGTTTTTGGTCATGCCATGTCCCAAAGCCCGGAGTACGACCAGTACCGCCCCTCCCCGATGCCAATGCAGCATCCAATGGCCCAGCATGTCATTCCAGTTCCAACAGCAATGCATTTCTCGACCATAGCACCCCATCCAGCCGACATGGCCAGTTTCGGGAAGAGTGTCCAAGATGGTGGGTCCAGCTTTGCAGCCTTCCAGGCGACTGGTGGGCGATCTAGATCCGTCTCTCAGGCATCACCGGAGCTGCAGATGTCACCCGGCCTTGACTTTGACAGTTATGGGGATATGCTATCACAACCTATCGGCTCTAAGCGTCAGAAACAAGTTGATGAACATGAGGACGCCCTCCGACTCTTGTCTTTGGAAGTACGAGACGTCATACTTACCGAGCTTGCTCAAAAAGTCCGATTGGCCGATGGCACTTCGAGAGCTGAGAGGGAACGACAGGGCTTTGGTATGGGTTGGTACGTCAACACCTCCTTGGAGGTCCTATCTGCTGCCAAGTGATCACCTTTTAACATGGACTCCGATATAGGCTACACAAGTACTGCAAGAGGACTAACGAAGAGACCGCTGCTATTCCTCGTAACCGTGTTTACACCCACTATGTCACAGCATGTGGGGATGCACGTATCAAATGCCTTAACCCTGCGTCATTTGGTAAACTGGTTCGCATAGTCTTCCCAGATATCAAGACCAGACGTTTGGGAATCAGGGGCCATTCGAAGTATCACTACTGTGGAATCACTTTGATATCTGGCAAGGAAAAGTTGGACGAAGACTTGAAGAATTCAGTCGCTGGCGATCCGAAGGTCAATATTCTCCCGAGTAATAATATTAGTCAGGATGCTTCGCATGAGACCGAAGGTGGCGAGTGGACTGCCCTGTAAGTTGTCATGCCCTCATATTTTCTGGTGCCAATGAAAGTTTTACTGACTTTAATTCCCTATAGTCTCCAAGACTCAGACCCAGCCGGTCCTCCCATCCCCAAGGACGATGATAAGGCTGGCAGAGCCGCCTCCGTCGAAACCCTACAACCCTTAGAGAACATCGATGAAGAGCCCGAAACCGAGTCTGCCGATGACCTCCTCAATAAGATGGCTACTTTCCTCTCACCCTCCGACGAGGAGCGACCCTTCGGAATTAGTGTTCCAGATATCACCCTTTACATGCCCGCCGGGACTGATATGGACAATGCGAGAACCCTCGAGGCAACCTATCGAACACATGCACTCGCTCTATTCGAAGCTTTCAAGACGATGCATATGAAGATGTTCTATAATCTCTACACACAATTCCAAGGGAGCTTCACAGCTCCAGTCTTGAAGCTACTTACGGATCCATCAATGGTTAACTGGGTTGAAGATACTGACTGGGAGATCTACAAGGTATGTTACTCTCGGTAAATGCATGTTCACCACGTCATAGATTCTAACCGACTTCACTAGGAACTCCTCGGTCTGGTTAACAATTGCGTTAAAACCGCTATCCCACCTAAAATCTTCGAACAATTCAAGAAGTTGGTCCATAACCTTGACGAGTCAGTTCGTAAATCATTGCAGCCACTTCCCGATCACGTCGTTGAAGCTAGACTCCGACCTGTTTCCGCATTCTGCCGCCTTGTCGACCAAGCTCTTCGAACCAACATGACGTGCCACGCCGCCGCTAGCATCTTAAACAATGATGCCGACGTTAAGACTATGGAATCCGACTGGGTCAATATGGTCGAAGCCGAAAGAATTGTTCGACGTGAGCTGCCGTGCAGGAGCCCACTTGCCATCCAACTTCTCCGTACTGAGATCGTTAGCCTTGTCCGTGGGAAGGAGCCTAATTCTATGCCAACCTCACAGGATGGTCCAGACGAGAACGGGATTTTCGACCATTGGGTCAGATGGCTTGATCGCTTGCCATCCCGCTTCCCTGAGGTGTCAGCTCGCAGCATTCTTATCGGAACATCAGCCGTTGCTAGTGCGGCCATTCGCGACATTACATTGAGCGGTGGAGAAGGTTTTGGTGGGTGGTGGGTTTTGGTCACCTTCGTCGAAGAATATCTTCGTTGGAATGCTGAGCGTGGCGGTTTCCTCCGCCGAGTTGCTCAGGGTCCTCATCAAAGCGTTTCCGCCTCAGATGCTGTTGTCCAAGATCGAAGTTTCTATCAACGAGGCACCCACAACGACGGAACAGACGACAGCGGAATTTCCATTCGCGACGACTCTTATGATAGCATCATAATCCAAGAAAAACATTCTGCCATCCTCGCGGACAGTATCCACCATATCCCTACTGCTGTTTAATTCCTCCTACAGCTCTGACACCCGCAATCTTGAGATCCAAATGCTTTGTGTCTTTGCTGCTTTTACCCTATCCGCGCTTTATTTAGATTCTATGGCCCCCCCTTATGTTTCTTTGATGATGTGTTTCTTATTCAACGGGCTTTGTGCATTTGTCTGAAAATGACAGGAGGGCTTTTTTTCATTTTTGCTTAGCGGGAGTTTTTTTTTTTTACCGGCGTCTTCTGGTTTTTGGATCATCACGATCTTCTATCCTGTATTTTCTATTACTCCACAAGGCCACTAATAACTTTCATGCCCTTCTACATCACCTTCATCCTCTCTCCATCCCCACATCCTCACTTCCCGCAACATTATCTTATGGGGTTGACATTGTTCTCTTCTGTGCCTTGTGGACTGGTTCTTGATGTTTTAATTTCAAATGTCTTTCAACTGTCGTCAAGATGAGATGAGATACCACTCTGCAATGCTTGCTTCGACCTGTACAAACTTTATAGTGTTTTTGTTTCCCTCTGTTTCCTGCCTGATTTTTATTTCTCTTTGCTTCTCTGAAGATGATACATGGATAATCCGAACATGCAGCTTCGATCGATCCATTCATCTTTTCATTGCCGGGGTTTTCCACGTTTCTCCTTGTTGATACAAGATGAAATAACAAAAGTCGACTCTGTCCCTTTTTTCAAGATCCATGTGCTTTCCCGAACTGTAGATAATTCTCACCCGATACCAGGCGAATAACTCTTAAGACAATAATAGATAACTTAGATACCTTTTAAACACCTAGACATCCTAGCCTAGGATCCTTCGATCAAGGTCCAGAATACCCCAGACTAAGGAACAGTAGCTCCCAAGCTGCAGCACAAACTTGATCAAAAGAGGCAGGTTGGGCGGCACAAACTGACGGCATGCGACAAGAGACTCTCAGCACTAACATCGGTCTGAATGCCTTGGAAAGCCGACGGTGGAAACAGGTACGGACTAGACTGCTTGTACCCACATGTACAATAGCGTCAGACTTTCTTCCTCTGCCCTCTGCCCTTTCTTTCCTTTTTCTTGAGCTAGCAGTGGGGGTAAGTTGGAATATCTCGTCGGCGCGCGGAGTTCTTCATGTTGCCCTTAATGCACGTTCCTGCGCCATGATGGCTTGCGACGCCGAATGTCACTTTGCCCTGGATATTGTGCCTGGGGATACAACTTAGGTACATATGCCCGCGAAGTATATCCCAGAGTACTTTTTTTCATAGAAAAATTCTTGAAATGGGCTTTGTCGACGGAAGGAGGAAGTCAGCGCTTACATGCATGCATGCATGATGTCTCTACTTTGATCAAGTCGAGGAATTCGAATTCGAATTCGAACGTTCGAGTCTTATACTTACCAATACCGCTGACACTGGAATGCTACTTACTCGGAGTGTCTTTGTATTACTTGGTATCATATCGATGCCCTGGCTGGGTCTGAGCTTTCCTTTCCGCTCTTCTCCTTCTCGCTTGATAAGATAAAAAAATACTTGAAATTTAGAGTATTTCCAAAGTAGTTAAATCCTTCCTCGTCTAGTCTCGCCTGGTCGTTTACGTCGTTCATTCGTTCATTCATTCGACTCGATCTGATTCGTCTCGGCTGATGTTTTAGTCTGGCGATAAAACAAAGCATCTCAGCCTCTCCTGTCCAGGTTTCTCTTGTTTTAATTTTGATTTTTTATATTTATTTTTTCCGAGTCACTGCACGGAAGCGGCATAGACGTCGTCGATATCGACATATCGCAACTACCCCCAACCATCAACTACCAACCACTAGCCATCAGCCATCAGCCATCAATCATCGACACTTACTTGCACTTACGTCTCGAGTACTTATATCGATATCCTTAGTTATCTGTGTATCGATCATATGCATCCTTAAGGCCTTCCGAGTTTCCTTTTTATTAGTCACCACTGTGAGCAAAGAGCCATCCCGCCTCCCACGTCTTTCTATAGGTTTCTCGCCTCTGCACAGTCGACCCCTCTTCAGCTGAACTAATCCTCAACTGAAGCCTCCGACTCTAATTCAGTATCGTCGTTTTGCCTCCGGCATCGTTTCTTTCTCATTCGGGTACCTCGAGTGCTTGTTCAGATACGGCAAAGTTCGCTGCAGTTGTTGCTCTTCTTCTCCCGTCTCCGCCTTCCCTCTCCGCGTCCCCACGCTGCTGGCAGCTTGCTTACATTACTGGTTGGACGCACGTTCGAATCACCTTTTCCCATCACTCTGATCCATTAATCGTCCTCTCAGACGACCCGATTCCAGGGAGCGAATAGTAGCTATCAACGTTTTTCTTTCTCTCGGAGCTACCTACTAGGGACTTTTTTTTTGCCTTAGACAAATTTCGCGTCCCACTCCAAGCAAAAAGTACCATTTCCTGCTTGCTTGACTTCGGCCTGACTCTTCCATGTCATGCATGCAAGTCTTTACATAAATTAACCGCAGCTTCAACATCTTCCGCCTCCCTTCTTCGCCGGAATACATATACACAACTTCTTATTCATCATCTTTTTTTAAAAGGAATTTTTGATCTGAAGCGTTCTTTGCTTGGAGGTTTTCGATTACTATTTTCTGATACCGTTAGCGCCTGAAGAGGAGAATCAAACCCACAACGAGAGACAAGCTGCGAAACCCGATACCGTTAACCTCCCCGCCTTCGCTGGCTGGTCCTCTCACTGTCTCTTGTCTCACGACTTTCCATCCATCAACCTTCCCATAGTCATCATCGTCATAATCCATCAGCATACACAGCATCCGCTAGTTTCGATACTTTGCTTCCTTTCTTTTTTTTTCTACCGAAAGGTAATCGGTACAGATTCTCGAGTCGCAGATTCGAGAGCCGGCGAAAGAGCTCGGACGATATCAGGGAAAAGTTTGAGGTCCTCGGCTTGTGTGCGACAAGATGGTTCGGTATGTTCGATAAAATATGAGCAGAGCTCCCATAAACCTAAGCTCTAAATTTGAGCTTAAATAAGGTTATTCTCGCTCTAATCTTGCTTTTCCCTGAACAGAGAAACGAAACTATACGAAACCCTAGGTGTAGCGCCGACTGCGACAGCGGAGGAGATCAAGAAGGCTTATCGGTAAGGATACCACTTTCTTTTTTACATTCACTGTCGGAACTTCATTTCATTTTCCATTTCATTTTCTTGTTCGGTATATTCAACATACACCATATATACAATCATCTCAACGATACACCCCGAAGAAGAAAGAGCAAGAAGGGAAAAAGCCTCACCATACCATTGCCTCGAAGCTATGTATACACCATAATATACACTACCCACGCCATGTATGCCTTCTTTCTCTTATAAACCGACTGTACCGACCCACGCATACAAGCAAAAAACCAAAAAAGAAAGGCTATTCAGCTTACTTCGTAACGACGATTCTTTGCAGAAGAAGAAGAAGGGCAATCAATATCTTGAGATACATAGAGAGAGAAAACACAGATTAAACCCACCATATATCACATATACACCTTCTCAGTCACCAGTTCACAGCTTTGCAGAGAAAGAACCTAAAAGACAGTTGAAAAATGAGCAAGCAAAAAATGGAAACAACGAGAGCGCTGACGTTACCCGGTGATTTTTCTATCCATTCGCGACGATCTCAGAAAGGGCGCCTTGAAATTCCACCCTGATAAGAATAAAGACGATGAAAATGCTGCAGAGAAGTTTAAAGGTACGATTTTCCCTATGTGCGAATCCTCTTTTTTTTTTTTTTTTTTTTTGGTCTTTTTGGTCAGGTGGGGGAGGTTGCCGTCATAGCTATTTGCAGTGGCGGTCTTGAGTCATATACAATACACATTCGCAGGCCCTCCGTTACGATACCTTGCTACTAACCAAATTTCGCCTCCATGTGCCGGCATTCGATATAGACCTCGGCCAAGCCTATGAGATTCTTTCCGAACCTGATAAAAGAAAAGTCTATGACCAATATGGTCTAGATTTCATACTCCGTGGCGGCGGAGCCCCCCCTCCGAATGATGAAAGCAAGCCGGAAGAACCCACAAAGCCGAAAGACCACCAACAAGTACCCTCCGGAACACCCAAATTCCGACGACACAATACTGATGGATACGGATATTCTGGGGGAATGCCCCCGCCCCATGGAACACCCAGCAGGACGTACACATACTCGAGTTCGAGGGGTGGAGTTGGTGGATATGCGTCATTCGACGAGTTTAAAGTCTTCAATACTTTCATGGCGTCATATGGCGATGATTCGTATGGTGGGGCCCCACCGATGTATGGTGCTATCCCAGGGATGCATGGTATTCCTGGGAGTCCGATGCCGAGGGAACATTTATCGGAGGGCAATAATAGTCCGTATATTAAATCGAGGTACAGGGAGGAGAGGGATAGTAGGAGAGAGAGGGAGCGGGAACGATATCGAGAGAAAGAAGAACGGGAGAGAGATAGAGATAGGGATAGGTATGTCAGTGATACGGTCAACGGAAGGAGCATCGAAAGGGACGGCTATAGGGATAGCCACCGAGATAGCCACCGAGACCGGGACTCGAAGCATGGAAAGTCGAATGGGAAAGGAAATGTGTCTGTTGTGGAAAGGAAGTTGCCAATTTCGTTAGAAGAGTATGAAAAGAATCTGCCCTCTGTTGTATTCCCTTCAGGCTGTAGTTTTGAAGCCTATATTTTTAAAAGCTAACGAGAAATTTTTCACAGAATTTTCAAGGGTGTTCAGAAAAAGTTACTTATCAAGAGAAAGGCTTTTGATGCAGACCAAAAAATGATCACCGAAGAAAAGATCCTCGACATTGCGGTTAGAGCAGGAATGAAAGCAGGATCTAAATTCAAGTTTACCGGAGTTGGCGACGAAGTCTCAGACGGCGGCATGCAGGATTTACACATCATTCTCGAGGAGGTATGCATTTTCTATCTGTCGAAGAAAGTGATGGATTTAGTGGGCAGAGAAGGAAGAGATCTAACTTTTTTTTTTGGGCGATGATAGAAACCCCATGAGAGGTTTACCCGCGACGGTGATGACCTAATCACGACTATCGACATTACACTAAAAGATGCATTGACAGGTGAGTTTTTCACCGCTCCTTAAATCAAAATAGACGTTCGACGGCTCATGAAACTACTGGATAGGTTGGTCGAGTCATGTCGTCAATATCGAGGGTTTCTCGATTCCCGTTTCACATGCTGGACCTACACCTCCTAACTGGTCCACCACCTTTCCGGACCACGGGATGCCAAAAGCGAAATCCAAAGATCGTGGCAATCTTGTTGTTAAAGTTAACGTAAGTATTGGTCTTCGATTCGAGTTTATAGAAAAACTGTGACCCTTGCGGGAGGGATCTGGGGATAGCTAACGTGACTTTTCCGTTGTAGATCAAATTCCCCACCTCCCTCACGTCCGAGCAAAAGGAAAAGCTGAAGGAAATCTTATAATTTCTTTCCTTTTTTTTACTGCATCAAATGGATCCAAACACCGGTTGTTAATTACACCCCCTTGCACATAACTTTCCTACCCATCATCCCGGCATTAACGTCTTTCATACCGAGATTACATTTCTATCATTCGGTCTGTCATGATAAAATATTAACACATCATCAGCAATACTATGTCTAGGAGCTTGATATATCGCCTTAACTATCCACATTTGCAAGCACTTTGGGTTTTTCTTTTATTGTCATCTTCCATTTTCATGCATGTCAGTTCCGATATCACATCCAGGGCTCCTCGTTTATTTTTGGTTCAGGATTTTCTTGGAAGACCCGTATTTACGACTGTGTTCATAGATTTCTCTATCTGTGTTTCTTTCCGGTTTCCTTTCTTTCTTCTTCTATATTTCACGGACGAGGGTTGCATTGTTTTGCATTTTGATTTTGAGGCTCAGCTCTTTTTTCTTTTTCTTCTTCTTCTTCTTCTTCTTCTTCTTCTTCATTTTTTTGTATATATGGATATAATTCCGGGGAACAAAGAATCTATCTATGGGGTTATATATTGCTTGAATTGAGTTTGCGATATCAATCAGCCTTTGTAGGGATAAATTTTACAGGTTGATCTAACCTCCCTACATGTATAATCAGAGAGTTAGCTTTAAAGATGGTCAAAAGCTTAAAGGTTTCCCAGCATATAAAATATAATAATAAATACCTCAAACTATAAGGGAATTCCAGAATACCGGCCACTTCCCTTTGTGACGTCTAAAAACGAGACCATGGTTGACCATTGTGGTAATACCGGTGGAATATTTCCACCTACGGTTTCGAGTGCTTGAAGAACAGCTCGGATGCTTTCCAAGCGATTGGGATTTTCTTAGGAGTTAAATGTTCAAAAGAAATCCTCGAAGACATTGGATTCGTGGGCCTGTGTCTATAGGAATTATTTCAAGGGACTGTCGCCGAGGCACCGCTATTGTTGGGTTGGGATTGTTATCCAGTTTCCCTTTTGATGATTTACTCCTCGTTCTTTAAATGGCTGCAGTTCCATTTATCAACAGAAGACGAGGGCATTTTGGTAGCTGGATCCTTTGCCGCGATTTTAACATATATTAATTCTTTGACGGGATCATATCTCAGAAGGAGGGGGCGGTGCTCCTCTCGTACTCGTTTCCGCTCTTCCTTGTTGACCAAATCCAGAGCCCTCATTAAGTGGTAGGTATAAGTTGATGAATGATAAGGCTTAGATCATGAAAGTAGCGGGAGAGAAAATGGTGGCAATGTTCAGGAGAACTAGCATATGAGAGCTGTTCGAGGATAGCTGTTCTCTCTTTACTGCCATGATTTTGGCTTGAAGTTTTTGCGCTGTGGTGCCACCGGGAAGGGGTTTCGACGATATAGATAAAGTGCCGATGATGTTTTTCTATCAAATAGCGATACTGAGATTTTTTTGCGTGGGGCTGGGTACGAGACAAGCGATACTGGTGTATCGCCCGGCGGTAAGGACTATATTATTGACTCTGGGTCAGTCTTTAAATCTGTGTGGATAAAGTACGACGTAGTATCTCACGTGCACGTACACAATATGACAGGATGGGGGAAGTACCTGCTCAAACCCTCTGAAACAGAATCCTTATAGATATATCTGTGAGCTCTGTCACCTGAAAAGTCGCTTGTTTAGGGTGTAGGCAAATATTGTACTTGGTGGAGAAGAAGATCATAAAATATATTAACGGTATACCGATTATTGAGATATCGAGATGTAGAAAATATATATATATTGCATTAAAAACGGGGAGAGCGGAGGCAATCAAACCTGCTAACATTAACAATTAACAGTCGATCTGTTTAAGTATCAACCTTGTAAATTTAAATTTAAGTACTTAAGTAGGTAAGTATCGGATTAGAGAACTATATCGACGCGATCTACTCTGCTCTATTCTACTCTACTTAATTCTATTGCATTCTCCTCTATTCTATCGTAGTATATTCTATCTTATTCTATTTTATTTATTTATTTATAATTCGAATTCAAAGCTCAGGTATTCAACTAGGCTGAAAGCAAGCGAGCTAGCTTTAACACAAAATCTATTAATCTACAGCGTTTCGCATCTAATATACATCTCCATCTAAGCTAAACTTCAGACCTGCGGTTTAAATATAAAGACTTAAGTAAGGTACTATTATTAGTGCCTCTTCTCAACTGACTCTTAAATTGTTACTTATATTCGTCTCAAATTAGCAAACGTACATCCGAAAAAACATCTTGACCAGTCGAAATAGAAATCTGATCTCTAGAACTATTATATTCCAGAACTGCAGACAATGGAGCAAAACACTATCCAAGGGAGCCCAGAAGAAAGCCTAGAGGCTCTTAAATCTCAAATCGCCTCTCTACAATCCCAACTTACAGCTGCAAAAGCCCAGCTTCAAATACAAATCCCACCTTCAAGTTCGTAAACATACCAATATTATATGTCCCCCAAAATCCAACGTTCTCAACGCAATATTACATCCTTTCATCCGTGCTTTATATAAAAATAAAATAAAATTATAACAGAGAAACTTACACAAAAAGAGGTCATCTAGCCCCATCACCCCCTCTCCACCTATGGCTCCTCCTCGCCGATTCCGCTCTTCCAATCGGTTCCTTCGCTTTCTCCTCCGGTTTGGAATCATATATTTCTCACCGTAACCTTCGACCAGCCGTATCCCCAAAACCAACTCCCAGAACCGAATTAACCCGCTTCCTCCGCCTTTCTTTACTTTCGATCTCAACTACCACAATACCTTTCATAACAGCGGCTTTTAAATCTCCTTCGTCGGTATTAACTCTGGATGACACTTTCGACGCAACAACAACATGTGAAGTCGCCCGTCGAGCGAGTATTTCTCAAGGAAGAGCCCTCTGCAGCGTTTGGGATAAATCCTTCGCTTCATCTCTTTTAAAGGTCAACTCTGAGAGTAATGGTGATGATGATGATAATGAAGGCGAAAGTAAAATTCCAATACATTACAGACCAGACCATTTCGGTCCTTCCTGGGGGTATATAACCCGTCTCTCCGGGTTACCGAATACGAAGGAGGCGTTGGAACAAGTGGTTTTTGTGTTTTTGTTTAATCATGTCAAGGCACTGTTGTCGGCTGCTGTGAGGTTATCGTTGATCGGACCCTATGTTGCGCAGCAGATTTTGGCTAGTGAGGAAGTTGGGAGGTTGGTCAGGGAGGCGGTGGAGAGAGGTGGGAAGATTGGAGTTGAGGAGGCGGGGCAGTCGGTTCCTACGGTGGATTTATGGCAGGGGAGGCATGAGAGGTTGTATACTAGGATTTTTAATTCTTAGAGCGGCGATTGGTTTGGTTGGTTGATTGGTGTATGTAGACATAAGGTAGTTCAATATAGAACGTACGATTTAGATTTTTTTTTCTTTTTTACTTTTTGGAGTATCGGTTCAAGGTTTTCGAGGTTTTCTATTTTCATTTCTCCCCCTTATTTTCCCCATCTAGCAAAGTTATGTTAAAAGAACGATGCTAGAGGTAGTTTGATTAATAAACATGTATTTATAAAGTGAAAAAAAGGAGGGAAGAATAAAGAGTAAAGACAAAGGCAAATTTGTATCCTTTTTGGTTTGTGATGTTTCCCAACCTTTGTAAAGGCTCAATTGAATACCAAAAGAGTATCTGTGGTATCGGTAGAGACCAAAGTGGGATAAAAACTTCCACGTCTTTTGTCATATCACCCATCCTTTTCTGGCTTTCTCGTGGTGATTCTCTTTGAAGTTAAGTCACACATATTTGATACCCGTCACCACTCGTCAAAATCGTTGAAGACGTGACTAGCGTGAACGAAGTAACAAAGATGATGCCGAAACTAGTGAGAAAGTGTAGAAGGATGTATGGGGAAAAAAACATTTTGATAAAAGCATATTAAAAAAAGTAAAAGGGGTCAGAAGCAAAAGAACCGTTTTCTTTCTAGAGGGTTCTTTTGTAAAACAAAAAAAACAAGAGAGTAAAAAGTAGGTTGTGAAGAAGTGGAGAGGGTAGTGATAATGATCCAGGAGTAACAAGCAGGAAGGGTATGAAGTTTTCATGAAATAAGCCCAACGATGACCAACCATGTTATGATTTCGTGGTCAAAGTATCAAGGCATTTTTTAATCATGAAAATTTCTGAACAGTAAAGGCGCCAGTCGCTGCGGAAAAACTCCAGAGTATGCATAACAATAAGTCAGAAAAGAAAAGGAAAAAAGACCAGCAGTTGAAAAATCAGTTGTGTGCATCACAGAAATACAAAAGCAAAACAATTCCGTGATTAAAAGAGAAAGGAAAAAGTCAGTAGGTCCAGAATATAAAAGGTAGACGAAAGGTGACGAAGCATCGTTGAATGTTGTGTCATCTTCGGCTTATTTTTATAGTCGGACTGAGTTAGGAGAAAACAAATTTTGTAATGAGAGAAGAAAACAGAATAGATACCCGCAGTAAGGCGCTAACGAAAACTTGCGGAATCTATTGCTCCCAGATACGTCTCATAGCTTCGAGGTTGCGTGCCATAGTGTTATAGTCGGTCGGGCTCCTGGCACGAGTGTCCTGGGGAGTAGATCTTTCACCGAAAGCATCGGAGAAGGTGGAAGCACTGAATCCAGGTGGTGCGGGATTAGTTGGAACATACCCGGCGTTAACCAAGCCAGCAGGGGACAGTGGGGAACTGTAGATACTAAATCCAGGCCCACCGCGTTGGATGTTCTCATAGCGACCAGTCATTGTTGGGGTCTGCGGGCCGTATGATTCTGGGTCAGTGCCGTTCGTGGTTTGGTTGTGATTTCCGTTACCACCACGAGCAGGTTGATGTTGAGCCTGGGCCCCTTGAGTTCGAATGTTGCTGCGAGGACGAGGGGGAACATTCTCCTGACGAATGCGTGTTTCTGGATGAAGAGTCGCTGGTTGGGTAGGGTTTGGAGCTCTGAAAGATGTGGAGGATCTAGGACGGGGGCCTTGGGAGGGCCCGGGTTGAGAAAAGGTACTCATACCATCGTTAATTGGAATAGTTCCGACGAAGCCATTAGCAGCGCCTTGAGGGACATTGGTTTGGATCCTAGTTGGGGTACGGTATATAGTGGGCTCATATCCAGGCATCGTGATTGCGAGACGATTAGTTTGCCCGCGATTACCATTGTTCATCATTCCGTAACCGTTGTTGTGGCCATTACCAAAGTGACGGCCACCGAAATTACCATAGGCACGGCCACGATGGTAACCAAATCCACCTCCGAAGCGATTAGGGTGATAGTAGCCCGACCCGTTGCGGTAACGGGGATTGTACAAGCCTACGACGTATCAGTTTCCATTTTCAATACAGCTTGCTCCGATGAAGTTAGCTAAGCTTACCGGAATGCTCGGCTGCTGTAACACTACGCAACTTGCGGTTGAGGTTATTTGCTGAAGTAGTCCGTTAGTGATGGTTTTTCCATAAAGAATTGATAGGAGGGCTGTAGCTTACGTGGAGGAAACTCCATATCCAGACCGAAGTGTTCGCCCACAGTGTGGAAAGCCTATTGGTGATATATCATTAGAAGCTCTGAAAGGGGTCAAGAAGAGGATGGCGGAAAAGACAAACCCTTGGACGAAATTCGAACGGCTGGTCCATGACGCTAGAATTACGGAACTTCTCAATTAGAGCAGCTTTGCCTTGAATGTCTATTTTTTTATACCGTTAGCCTGGCAAAAGTTTACTTGGGAAATGATTGCAGGAAAAGAACTTACTGGCGTACGAAACCTCGACGATCTTATCGGAACCGAATTGCGACCTATTTTTTATCAGAAGGCTATTCCAAACTTTAATTATGGATCGTTTAGCCGGCTTACCATCGCATACCGACTCGTCGCTGAACGAAGTCAACAATATCGGCAAGGGTGAGGTAATTGACGAAGCAGTAACCAACATTACTTATACGTTGATGGGTCAGACAGGGATATACTTGAACTAAGGAATGGAATAGAAACCTACCAATGGTTCGCAAAGTCTATGAAAACAAAAACTGTGAGTAGATATCCACAAGCCAAATTATAGGGAATCCTTACCGATTCTAAGATATAAAAAGTCATATCTGCGATATGAAACCTCGTCTAACCAAGCCTTGATAACGCTTTGAGGGAGCTACAAAGATTAAGTCAGAGGGGACGGAATTAGAAGAACTAGGCTGTTTCGCAATGGAAAAAATTCTTACGTGGTTGGGGATGTTGCGAATCATGATAGTTGTTCGTTGGTCAATTCCATTTCGAACATTATGAAGGTCTAGGATGTTTCGATTGATCCCAGGGTCATAACGTGGGCTCTCTGGTTCATAGAGCGCCATGGCACCGGAACGCCCTCGAACAAGAGCATTGGAGCCACAATAGTGACTACGGGCGAGTTCCTGGCCAGTTCCAGGTCCAGAGGAAAAGGGAATGCCATAGAGTCTACGAGCATCATTGACCAACTGTGTTGAGCCAGCGTGGACGACACAGACATTCTGGTCCTCGTGGATCTCAATCATTTGAGAGGCCTTCGTCCAGGCAATTCTCTCAACTTCTGGCCAATTGACACGGATCTCGAGGCCCTATAAATTCCTATTAGCTGCTGGGAATAGTCGGATGATAAAAAGGCACCACGAAGCTTCGACTTACATCAACTTGTTGACCATTCAAACTATTGATAGCGGCAGCTGCATTTCGGATGTCATAAAATTCTGCAAAAACAGTGCTGACATCATTGTTGCGGTAAGTCTGCACAGTATGCAAGTCTCCAAAGGCGCCTAGAGCTCCGACAATAGTTTGTGTATCACAATGCCCGTTGAGAACGTCAACTTGAACTTCACCCTCTGTTGTGAGTGGGTGTGCTGCGAAGTTATTAACCACCTGACTTGAGTTAGTAATTGTATATTATCTTCACTGTACTTTGGCACCTTACATTTTCAAGTGTGGTTCGAGCACAGTAGATGGCAGGCCATTTCATCTGAACGTCCCTATAGCAGTGAATGGACGCCTGGAGGTGGAAAAACGAGACATATAAGATGCCATTGCTCAAGAGCTTTTCAACAAACAGGCCCGAGACATCTCCGAATTGCTAAGAGAAAGATTAGTATCAACGGGAGAAAAGTATGGATTTCTCGGAGGGGAGGGTGTTGGATCTCTAATAAACTTACCTCAAAGAAAGACTTAAGATTCGATGGAGAGGTGTCATTAGGAACACCAGTGCACTTCAAGTGTCGAGTTGGAACGATTCCAACATCCCTATCTACCTCAGGAACGCAATAATATTCGATGATCCTACCTTCGGCCCCACCACGGATGGCATTGGCCACTTGCTGTGATGGGTACCTAGCGACAGCGAGATCGTTCATCCCGCCGCCTGGGGTAGTTCCACCAAAATGCCCTTGGGAGCGAGTGGTAATCTCCATTCCCGGGTCTGGGATCTGGAAATCAGGGACGTACCCAATAGATTGTCCGGGAGGTCCAGCAACGGGAATTTGGAAAGAATTAGGGTTGGTAGAAGATGAAGCCATTTGAGTAGCCCCGGGTCCGCCAAAGGTTGTCGGAATGAAAATGTTTTCACCCCCAGAGAAGGGGCTATTTTACCAACCCACCTTGTCAGTACTTGATGATGGGAGAGTGAAAAGGGAAACCAAAAAAGTAAATAGCAAAAGAGAATGGAATAAGTAATAAGCTTATTAATGTGGCCAAACGATACTTACAATGGATGAGCTGTATTAGAAGTATTGCCAATAGCCTGCCCAAGGGTGGTAGGAACATCAATGTTCTGGTCTACAGGAACGAAAGTTTTTTTAGTACGAAGCCTTGGGTTGTATTTCCTGATAACGAGGGGGAAGATAGTTACAGTTCGTTTGTGTGTAAGTAGAGGATGGCCCTGTCGCGTTAGCGATGCCATCGGTATCCAGAGAGCGTCGTTGTTGTTGATTGGCTGAAGCCATGATTTGTTTTACTGTATGCTAGGTCAAGGAGGGGTTTAACAAGCCTTGGATCATGAAAAGGAGGGCAATTATAGAACAGAAAAAGGAAAGAGTAATAGGAGAGCGATCTTATGCAAGAGAAGTGTGTTTGGTGATGAAGGAAGGATACTGAGTCGAGCAAAGGTGCAGAAGGATGGGATGAGGAGGAGAATAGAGGTGAGGTGCAAGGGGAAGAGAGAAGTTCAGCAGAAGGGGCCTTTTTGTAATATAGTGCTTCCAATAAATAATAAAATCACAAATGAGGGACAACAACAACCCCCCAAAAGATTTTGACTCCTACGGGACCTTATATCTAGCGAGTATATTCGAAGATAGCACATACAATACTAGTACTAGTTATGCTAATAGTATTGATAGAGCAAATCTCAGCAGCAAACACAAAACCAAATACCAAAAACAGGGCGCTTCTAGGGGTTCTGAGGGAGACATATCCATGATATGACGTCATTACTCCCAATCCCACTGGGGAAAAAGAGACTATTAGCTTAGGGCTCAACCCCAGTGTTGTTGTACCAACCCTCCCCTCTCCATAAGCCAATTCAAGAATATACATCCACCTCCCGAAGCCTGATAATCATCACCAAAGTACCAAAGGCTTCCTCGAAGTTCTGAATACAGAATACCACACGGGAAAGTGTTGACATGTGGTTGGCCATGGTCGCGCGACCTGAGATATTTTAACCTTTTTTGGCCGTGTTACGGAGCCGGGGACTGCTTTTAGCTTTCATTAGTAGCGCGGTGTTCCGCTCTAGGTTGCCTACGTACTGTCCGAGTAGAACGGTTGCGCGACGCTCCCCCGTAGGTGTCTTTAATTTAGTCCAACATCTGAAATATGCTACAATCACTAGAGCTTTATTTGGATACAAAGCTGTTAAGCAATGGCAATCCGATGTATTAATGTATCGGTCTGGCTACTGTTTTGGTACATGGCGGCACCTCCACGTGGTTATTTTGTATATTGAGCAACATACAGGCGGCTAAAAATATATGATAGACCGATTCTATTGTAAACTACCTCAGAATAGAAGTTTAATTTCAAGATGAACGTAAACCGCCTATCAACGATTAAACTTCCCAGATACTATCTTATATATACACATTCACAACCTCACCAGAACTAGCCTAACTTCCAACTTCCAACTTCCTGCAGTCTTTCGTTATTCCGTATATTTTACGCTTAAAATCTAGCTATCGTGAACAACCCAAAAGTGTTGCGTTGACGTTGTATTTAGCACCACCCGCCAAGATGCCGGATCTAAGCAACTTCTCTTTCCAGCAAGAAGTCGACAAGCGGCGGAGACTATCCCTGTTCCCTGGCGTGAATGGTGGACCTAGAGCTCGATCCATCCGTCGAACAAGGACACCTTCGCCCAAGTCGACCGAAAACCGTTCGAGAGGCTACTCGATATTCAGATACTCTCTCAAGGGCAATATGGTATCTCTTGACGACCCTTTGGAGGATGCACACTTAGTGCAGGTGATTCGACAGGTAGGGGGTGACACGTCTTGTGGTAGTGGTGGTGGTGGTGGTGGTGGTGATTTTGGGGGTTGAATCTCCGGTGGAGCAGTCTTAGCTAACATGGATCCTCCTTTTGTCTAGTGCATGCTGTCGTCCACCGACACCGAGTATTTCGATCTTTTAATCCCAGCCATCAAAGATGCATGCGTTCAGCAGCGAGAAGATGGCCTCATGATGGCACTTGAACGATTTGCTGAAGATAAGGAAGCAGAAATTGAGCAAATGTGCAATGAAAACCATCAACCTTTCGTTCAATCCGTTGAGCAGGTCTTGAAAGTCCGAGAGGAGTCTATGAAATACACCTCTGAGATTTTAAAGCTAAACCAGACGATTCAAAAGTCTACTGAAAGTTTAGCAGCTAAAAAGAAGGCTTTGGTAGATTCAAGGGGCACTAGGCAGAACATTGACGAGGCGATGCAAGCTCTTCATAGCTCGCTGGAAGTCCTCGCCGCAGCCAACCGAGTTCATGAACTTCTCAGCGAAAAGAAGCACTACACGGCTCTTCGCACACTTGACGAACTTCACAATATTCATCTAAAGGAAGTGATGCACTTCGAAGTCGCAAAGATCATTCAATCATCTGTCCCAGCAATGAAAACAATGATCAAGGAAGCTGTCATGACAGACTTGAATCACTGGCTATACCAAATCCGTGAAACCTCAAAGCTCCTAGGTCAGGTAGCTTTTGATCAAACAGAACTCCGACGAGAACGCCAAAAAGAAAGAGCGGAGAAATCTCAGTATTTCGAACTCTTTAAATTGAACTCGGCCGTCGAGCTCGTCCTGGATGAGAGAGAAGAATTCGACGTACTGAATAACGAGAACGTGATGATCGACTTCACTCCTCTCCACGAATGCATCCATATTCATGAAGCATTAGAGCTTAGAGACGACTTCCGCTTAGAGTACAGTGATGTCCGAAGACAGCAAAAGGAGCTTCTCCTCCCGGTGTCTGTTTCCTTCAGGGAGGATGATATCTCGGGGCTCGCTCAAGTTTTAGAAGAAATAGCGGGGTTCGCTATCATTGAGCGAGCTACGATGAGACGGACGCAAAACTTCCGATCAGCTTCTGACGTAGGTTGCTCTCGATTGCACTTTTTCCGCTTCCTAATGCTAATTAGGGTCATTTGACATAGGTGGAAGAGCTCTGGACGTCCATGTGCTCAAAGACTATTAAGATTATCACACCGGCGATGCAAGAAGTCAACAATTCCGACACTATTCTCAAAATTAAAGCAATTCTCTCATTATTCATTCAAACAATGGACGTAAGTTGTTCGAGATGTCTGGTCACGTTGATATCCAGAAGCGGAAGATTGCTAACTCTAGCTAGACCTGGAGCTATAATGTAGATATTCTTGATGCATTCTTGTTGAAACTCTTTGAGAGATACTCGGAGCTCTTGAAGAAGCAATTCTCCAAGGACTTTGTCGAGGTACGAATCATCCCAACACGGCCGTCTCGAGAAATACAACATAGCGTCTCAGGCTTGAGCTCCGTCACACCTTTTCGATGCCCAATGAGAGCTCTAGCCTTGTGTAACATCGATACTAACGATGTTTCGGATTGCAGATTGTGCAAAGCGACGATTACATGCCTATGGCCATTACCGATGCTGAGGAATACGCAAAAGTAATCAGCGTGAGCTGGTTCAAGGATGACAAGGACGCAGAAGAAATCCAGTAAGTGGACGCCCCACCGCCCCTCAAACTTGGCTGAAAGCTGATTTGTCGATCCAAGGTACCCCACGGTCCTCCCGTTTTCTCAGATGTACCCATTGTGCTGCATTGACCTACGCAGTTTCCTGAACAAGTACTATTTCTTTTCCCGGGAGTATTTCCACCATCCCCATACGATCGACGAGACACTCAGAGTGGTAAGTTGAGCCAGTTAGAAAATTTTCTCGATACTAAACCCCAAATACTCATAGACCCGCATCATGTATCCTTCTATTGGCTGGAATACGCTGACAAAGTCGCTATTGGCTCGTTATTTTTGCCAACTGGATAGTCTCTTGATGAAATGTTAATGGAACAAGTGTGCAAGTCGCTCCATGAAAGATTGACGTCCAAGTACCTCGGACAGATTGTCCAGATCTTGATCAATCTAGAACACTTTGAGACTGCCTGCTCGGAACTGCAAATCCTATTGAGGGACGTAAGTGCGTCAGCCCATGCTGGGCCAGTCCAACTCGAAGCACTAGAAATGTTCCGAAACGAGAAAAAGACGGCCGAGAAGAGGATTTTCGAGTTGGTGAACTCCAAGCTGGATGATTTGCTTGAAGGCGCCGAGTATGACTGGTACGTCTCCCTGTCTCATCTGCGAAATTGATAAACGCTTTCACATATTCGGTCTGGTCAACTTTTTTTCTGATTTGTTATGTTTCTACTGCAGGATGCCAAATACAGCAGAAGAAACAGCTAGCCCATATCTACTGGCCATGACTAGGTTCCTTACAGATATCATGGAGACCACTCTCCTCGGGCTCCCCAATGATATCAAAGGATTCGTCTACTTTGACGCCTTGAGCCACCTCGCCTCCGAGATCCTTGTGAGTGATTATCCCCAACCACCTCCGCTCTTCTGATCCGACGCCCGACTCTTTCCTTCGTATACCTCGAGGCGTGCATGACTTTGTATCACCCTCCCCATGATGCAGTCACGCCAGCCGCATATCTTTTTAACGAAAAAAGCCGTTATCCATGCTAATGACTCCGCCCCGACTGGGGCACCACACTCGCTCTTGTTAGAAACTGCCACTCTCCGAACACGTTCGGATGATCAATAAGAACGCTGTCAAAAACATGGACCAAGACGTAGCCTATCTCGAGGAGTTTGTCAAATCCTTGGAAAGCGAGGGGTCCAACCTGCCTAGGATTTTCGAAGAGCTGCGTGAGACAGTCAACCTGCTAAAGAGCGATAATCCGGAAGAGTTTTACGACATTAGCGTCAGAATGAAACACTACACCAAGGTTGATCCGTTGAACGGGCCGCTTCTTATGGAGAAGTATGTCACCGTCTTACCCCTCTATGGAGTGTCTAATACTATTCCGGACGAAAGAGTAAAACGTGATCAAAAGTCAGGTGCAAATTGCTAATATATTGATAATATAACAGGTTACGGTTAGCGGAAGAACACCAAAAAATGCCCGTCCCTGAAGTTCAAGAAGCTCCAAGGGGCCTGCTATCCGGTGGTTTCTCGAGGTTTAGAGGCAACTAAACTAGCTTGCCCGAGTAAAAACAATGATCCCAGTATTCGCCTCTGGGACGGACCGTGTCCACACGACCATTGTGTTTCACGCTCAGATCGCTTTCCTGATAGTCATATGATTACATTTTATCTCTTGAAGTTGAAGCATTACTTTTTGTGAGCATTATTTGCGAGCGTTCTTTCCTGGTCCCTTGTCTCATCTCGTCTCCTCTAGACTCAGCTACGGGCTTTTACGGAGAAATTCTGTCACTTTGTTGATATGTAACTTTAATTCGGCGTTTTTCTTTTTCTTTTTTTCGAGAGAGAGGGAGGGGGTAAACAGCCAATGTCGATTTTGGATTAGAAACTGTTGAGGTTGAAGTCGTCTTTCAAGATACGTTAAGTTTTCGCAAATATTAATATCTCGCATAAATTCAATATCGAATGCATACGTATTCCGGACCCATAATCGATTTAGATTGAAATGCATTAATTGATTAATGTGAAAAGAAAAGGCAAACTAGAAGAAGAAGAAAAAAAAACTTGCATTTTCGCGATTAATGAATTCCCGCTTTTGGCGGTCGACCGGTCCCAACTGCAAGAATATTTCGAATCTATGAGGCTAGAAGGAGGCTTCAGCGGGCGGGCCTTTCAAGCAATATCCCAGCTTGCCTAATCCTTCCGCTGTTAGATTTTAGTCAAAGATATCGATGTCAAGATCTTACAAGAAATTTTCAGTTTTCATTTTACTTTTTCAAAAGGGATTTTGTTTTTTATACACCACCTTTCAGGGCCTTGCAGATATCTGCAGCAGCCTTGAAAGCCTCCAAAAAAGCCTCCATCGAGCCTCTCCAGCTCCCCCCCCTCCCCAACGACCCTACCTTTTTCTTCAAATTTAATATAATCTCAAAAATATTAATTAGGAAGCTTAAGTAGGAAACTTGATATATTACCTATCTTAGCACCATGAGCCACCCCTCACCAGACCACACACACACCCCTCTTTGAAAATGTAAATGAATTATACATGGATATACCCTTTCCAAAAAAAAAAAAAAAAGGAGACCTAGCCACGATTTTCCAAGTTTTTTTTCGTAAGTTTGCTTTCTTTTTTGTTATCCTCAGAACCACGTAGACGCCCCATACCATGGTTAGCTCGTAGCTAAGGTCTTATTAATATATGTCTGTGCGTTGTCTTCCGTTCCAGGCCAGGCGGCTCGGTTTGCAATTTTGACATATTTTCTAGCCGGGTGGTCATAAACTACTAACTATAGCTACCCACCTGGCCATAGATTGATAGCTAGCTAGCTAACTTGGGCAGGACCCCATATCACGTTTTTTTTAAGATCTTCTAATACGTATGATATGTTCGAACCAATTTGAGAGAGAGACGTTATATTTTCTTTTCCTTGGTTATACTTACACAGTTTGTGTGTTTCTATATTAATATCAAGCGTATCATTATTATTATTAACCATGCAGTATAACTGGGTCTACATATACACAAGTGGACATGTTGCTTTTCTTGGAAAGCTAGAAAAGAACGGGAAAAAAAAAAAAAAAAAAAAAAAAAAGGAATGGTTGATGAAGTGGATACCTTGGCCGGCAGTGTCCCCAATGGGTGGTAATTAGTTAGTTAGTCTAGCTAGCTCGAGGTAGCTTTGGCAAACTCCAACCAAGCTCTGGTTTTAAGTTATCGACCGAGCTGGTTGCTTGCTGTGCCTTCGCGGTACTCGACTATCGGACTTTCTCCTTCAACAAGTGAAAAAATATCCTTTTTCTGAACAGG